CTTCCCTTCCACAGCAACCCGTTCAGTTTGGCAACCTAGCATAAAGCTAACAAATAAATCCCTGCTAGGCTAGCAAGCTGGAAGGACTTGCCAGAGCCACAGTGACAGGAGCCAGACTGCACCTCGCAGCAGTAGCGAGGTCTTTGACTAGCTCAAGCTTTCCTCACCTCATGGTCAGCATCCCTGTATTCCAAAAGTAGTCTTCCACCACGGGAAAAGGGTGGGGAAAATAACAAGAGAGCCTTCTCTTACCTTTCAGTGGCATATTTATTTGATTTCTTGAGGAGTTAAATGTTAGGCAGAAAAAAATCTGAGCCACTCGTTTTGCCTGTTTAATACGGAGCTGCACTGACAAGGATGGACCCAGCAGGATCATTACTAGTCCAGATAAGCCTCTGCTTTCCTCACGTGGTGAATACGGCACACGTGCAAGGTTTATCGCACCGCAGAAAGTGGCACTGCACAGTTAGATAGGTCGAAGAAGGAGAACGAGAATCATCAAGTCGATGGATGGAAGCTGAAGTGTGCCAGGATCAGCAAATAGCCAGTGCATGGCAGGGAAAAGCAGTCAGAAGGTAAAGAAAGGAAGGGAAGCATGTGGCTTACCATCTCAATGCAAGAGCAAAAGGAGACTTCAGATTGAAAGACGACAACTAAAGCCTTGATAATTGAGTTTAGACAACTAAAATTGATCTAAGAAAACCCTACACACAGGCACATGCACTCACTGGAGCTGGGAGTCATACTGGGATAGGAAGTATCTTTGAAGGTAGTTCAAGAGTGTGGAATAAATTCTTCAAAGAGTTCGTCACAACTGTCTGCTTCAAGGGTAAGGTACGCATCCCTGACTTACTTTTTTCTAATTGTGTAAGTTAGACTAACAAAAGATACATTTTGATATGGAATTTGTCTTAATACAAAAGGAACTTCTAGGTGCCTAGGCCTGTCTTGTCTGAAGAGTCTGCGTGCCCAAGCATTTGGTCATTTTCCTTAATACACACACCAGCATATATACTTAAAGAATTTCAGCAAACCATAAAGAGGCTAGGATATTCTTCCCACTGTGCAATCTCACACCTCTGGAAAAAGGATGGGAAAAAAACACCCCAAAAAAATCCAAGAGCATGAGATGCAAGCCAGAGTTTCTAAGCATACTACTGAAAATAGCCTTTTTACCCTTTAGGATTTCTTAGACTTGTGTTTAAAGAAGGTGGAAGAAGCCACTGAACAGGGGAGCTGGGTTACATGAACCAGGGTCAGGGTGAGTGGGCTAGCACAAATGCTTTCTGCTAAGGCTGATGAAATGAGAAAGGAGACTAGGTTTTAACTTTTTCTTCCATCTGTTCTAGTGCAGGAATTCTTCAGTCCAGCGCTTGAGTACACACCAGCAAGCACCGGACTCTAGGCTCTGGTACACTTTGTGATGAGCAAGCCCACTGATTTTTTTGTAATTTTAAGCACACAGTTTGTATAAATCAAATGCTGATCATTTCCTTATGATCTACAGTGGAGGGAGAGGTGGCAAAGACTATTTTAAAGCTCACTGGCTTTGTCTTCAGAGGTGAAGACGTAGGTGATGGCTTGAACATGAACCTTAGACAGCTGCACTTTTATGTATACAGAAGAGAGCATGCACGTAAAAGAAGCCTTTTTTCACCACCCCAGGAGATTCAGGAGGACTTGCCAACAGCGTTCGGGAGTGTGAAGTACATAAGTACATTGTAAGTACACTGATACCATTAAACAGAACCATTTGTTTTCGTCTTCTCTGCAAACACATCTGCCTAAGTGCTCCAGCTTCGCAGGGTGCACATGGAGTTTGGAGCATTATCCGTGGGGATTGTGCGCAGTTGGAAGAAAGCAGAGAGATACAGCAGTTGTTACGAAAAAAAAAAAAAAAAAAGAAAAAAAAAAAAAAAAGAGTAGTCAAGTCTTTACTAGTCTGACAGTTCCTAAAATAATGTTGCTTCACTTAAGAATGAACATGCTTATCTCTGATCTACAGAACCAGACTAAAAGGTTACTTTTCCCTTGCCAGAAAAGCATCTTTAGAAGTTTATGAATGCCTGAACAGAATGGCTGAAGCCTGCCAGATGACTTCATGGTAAGAGAAGGAGGCAGAAAGCCACCTCCTCACATGTGAAAAGAACGCTTACAGAAGAAATTTAGAGGATATACTTTAAAAAAGCGAGTTTCTAGTATTCAGAGCTGTATGTGGCTACCTCATTATTTTACGGAAAGGCATACTTACTAACATCTTGGACCCTGGAGAGTGTTTCCTCCTTCTCAGTTGCTTCTGACTAATGAATATTTTGAACAAAACCCAGCTTCTGCCTGGAATTCACGAATCCCCGAAAACCACCATTATTAGGCAGCATGCAACTCTGAAAAGCACAGCAGTTAACTGCCTATTGGTATGATCAAGGATTTATGACTAGTTATAGGACTGCCGAGGAAAAAAATCCCCTACGCAAATCATTGTATTTATGTGGTAAACATCATTACACTAACTTTAAAAGCACGTATTTCCCACAAGGAAAAGTTAAAGTTCTGTAATTATACCATAATTAAGTCTTTACTTACAAGTCATGTGAGCCTAAAATCTTCATCTGTCTTCAAATGCAAAAGTGGTAGCACAGCTGTAACCACCCCTGCATAGACATGGGCAAGGCAAGGGCTTACGATTCCCTCTCTGGACCCAGCAACCTCACAGCCAAGATTAGCATGCGTAGAAGTTCATCTGCTTTTCCTGCCTGCAGTGGCTGGTCTCATGCTGTACCACCTCTGAATATAAGCCTTGTGGTACAAAGAGATTCACACCTTCATTTGCTAAACAAAGTTGGAGGGAAAAACACAGATCTTCAAAGTTTCAACACAAAGAATTTAACTATTAGAACATGAAACAGTGGGTGGGGCTGGCTTTGTGCTTCCCCTTCCCGTAGCTTATGAGAAGTAGGAAAACTCAGCATCTTTTGCATTGTGCACCTTCCCTATAGACCACCCCCCTCCTCCCATCCCTGAAGGATTACAAGTGTCTAAGCGTTTGGAAAAGAGAAAGAGCGTAGCTAGTATTGCCTGGATTTAACAGAATGCTTCATGAAATGTACAACTCCTCCTTATTCCAAAGGACATTATCACTTTCCACAGTACTTTCCTGAATCAGGGCCTGAAAGCATGCCCGCAGAAGGGAGATTATATTTTGGCAATGTTTTTTTGCACTGACAGTGCTCAGCTTCTGCTGCCAACTAACTGGCATCGAGCAGACCAATCCAAGAGCCCAGCTTTTCTTCCCAGGTATTCATATTCCTACTCCTAAGCATCCCTTTGCTACATCTGCAAGGCAAGTCACAATTTTCCCTGGAAGCCAGCTATTTGATGAGCCAGGGCATTCTCAGTTTCTTGCCAGCAGAGAGGAATGTGCTGTTGTACAGTTAGAGAAAAAAAGGCTTTCAGAAGTATTACCCCTGGTTCTCAGCACACAGCACCGAGGTCACGTCTAGCTGTGTGTCAGGCAGCCTCAATAATTCCCAGCTCCACTGCAAAGTGACATTTCAGCCAAAAAACCCTATCATCTTCGGGAAGAAAGGCACTGTCAGTACAGATGGATGTTGCATGCTGGCGACAAGTCATGCAGCAGATCCTTCTGAAATATGTGCTGCACATGCACAGACGTCTCTTGGAGTGAAGGACTCCAAAAAATCCTAAGTCTGAGCTCTAAGTTTTGGACTTAAAAATGTGATACCAAGAAGCACAGAATTCTGATAGGAATTTCTCAGAGGGCCCAGGGAGTTTTCAAGCCTATTAGACAGCCCCAAGGAGTACTGAGATACTTTCTGCTGTTTTAACCCTTAGCTTTAGCCCCTTTCACGAGCTGGAAGACTACATCTCAAATGAGGCAGAACAGAATGAACCCAGAAGCCTCTCCACTACCTAGCTAGCTGAGGAGAACAAACTATGTTGCATATTCACAGGGACTTGCAAACTGACTATTTCAGAAGAAAACACTGGTAGTTCAGAGTCCCCAAACAAGTCCACAAACCTGCATCTTACATTTTAATTTCAGTAAGAGACGGCATACTAACAGGACCAGGAAAATGATAGTGTTTTGACTACGAAAATCTTGGTTTACAAAAATTTATATAGACCTTCCCTCCTTTGTCTTCAGTGATTGCTTGAAAGCAACAGCAGTGAAGATTTCAACCCAACTTGAAAATATACCATCACCTGTAACTTCAGTTTGTCTAATCAGTATTAATTGTCAATCAGTTCCACAATTTCTCTAATGAGAATTTATAATACCTGGGCCTCAGGAAAACACCACATGGTGCAAGAAGACCCCATGCCAGCTAAATAACAATAAGCGATAGGGCAAAGTGTTAAGTCAATTGGAAGCCGTTGTCTCCAGAACCAGAAAGGCAAGCAGCTAATTAAAACATTGTGTGGGAGCCTGCATGAGGTGTAAGAGAGCGCTGGGCCACAACAGGCTTTGGATGTGTGCCCACGTACAGAAACACACTATTTAAAGCAACAACAGTTTTGAGAAGCAATGTAACATTCGTACCTCCCCAGCCTACTCCAGAAAAAACACCCCCTCCCCTCTGCGTTTTATAAGCGGTCTTCTTTATAGAAGTCGCCATGGGTTTCCAATTTTCTTCTTTGACTTAAAGGATTATTTTAGATTTCAGAGGTCAGAGACTAATCGGGGCAGGAGAAACAAAAACAAATGAAAACCACTTATCCTTTAGTCCACATCTAAAGATCAAAAAAGAAAATCAGCTTACGAAACAAACCCTCTGCTTCATTATTCCTCTTGTGGGGAAGCTAGACTTCAAAAAAGGTGGGGAACTGGGAAAAATCCAGAACTCACTCTCAGCAACATGTATCCCTGTGCATGAGATCAGCACCCAGGCTGTGCACAGCACAGCTATGAACGTGCTTACACCATGGCAGACACAGCTGCCTGGCTATCATGCAACTGCTCCCCTTTCAGTATTACTTACCGATCGATACTCATAATAGACTTTATCGTACTCATGGCCTCCAATTGTGATTTCTGGGATGAAGCGAGGGATGGTTACAGGATTCAGCACTCCACTTTTGTCCTGAACGCTGAGCGGAAAGAAAGAAGGAAAAGAAAAAGAAGCAGTTAGCCCACATCCTGCCCCAAAGACAGCAACATCAATTCTGAGTTTGACCAAATACTAAAGAACTTCTTTCCTGTTACATAAAACTTACATAGGTTTTGGCTATTTTCTGGTTATGATGAATACATAGTCCTTGTCTTCACACAGCTATTTTATTTTTTTGCCCCTTGCCTCCATTTTGCTCCTGTTCCAACTTTTTCCTGCTCCTCCATTCCCTCTCCCAGGTTTTTCCTCCCCGGAGGTGCTCTGACATTCTCAGAAGCCTTCTCCATAAGGTACCTCTAGTTTATTGCTTTCCTATATAAGCAAGGTAAAACCAGTGGTTTTACTGAGTCCCACACACTATCTTGCGATATCAACTTCATTAAATTGTCTCTTGTTCCATTAGTTTTCACAAATGAACCCTGGCAAGGACTAAAGCAAGTAACTAAAACAAGGACTAAATTCCCATCGTAAATGGACTGACACCGAGGCACTTTTTCAAATACCTCAGATTTAAAATGTCTGAGAAACTGCTAGAAAGCTACCTTCTGCATACAGGTATTCTACATAGACCAACAGTGCCACCTACACGTAACTGGGGAAAAATACATCCACTTACAGTCAACAGTGACCAAATTCTAAATTGACACTAGAAACTCCGCAAATTGTGTTCTTTTCAGTGAATTGCACTTCTTTTCAAATACTTACATACATGTAAAGCATATGCCCTGCTCAAAGCAAAGTAAATAATTTGTAGACAATTATTTTTTTTCCCCAAATCGCAAATTTTGGGACCTTACCTCACAGCACTGAACAGTTTCAACAAGTAAACTAGTCTGCTAGCGTATCCTGTCATGCATGCTGTAAATTATCCTACTACATACAAATTAGTACGGAAATACAATAACCTAGTAAAAGTTGAGATGGGAGAAGGTAAGGATAAACACCCTTTTAGAAGACCAGGATGAATACCGATGATGCTTACTATAAACTACTACATTATCTGTCTTCACATACATTAAATGCATGGAAGCCAGGAAAGCGAGCCCTCCTTTGCCTCCTAACCAACACAGCAAGAGCTCTTTTCATGACAGGCTAGCACTGGCCCTCCCGTGGGCCACTCCCAGCCTTCCCACTCCAGGACAGCTTGGAGTAACCGAGCTGGGACAGAAGACCTTGCCCAAAAATGGTGATTTGATGATGCAACCGGTTTTATTTCTGAATCCCAGCATACTTCTGGAAGAGCACCTCGGCACCTCTTAAGTCTCTTCTCTTGGGTTTGTGCCGAGAAGGAACCGACTCTAATACCCACTGCTAATTAACCTGAAACTAAAATAAACAGACCCCAGCAGAAAGCAGCCCTTCAGGTACCAGCTCTTCATGACTTAAGTGCAGTCCATCCTGCAGCCACACTTGTAATCAGTACTGACACTGAGCTTTAAGCTGCATTTCCACTGTGCAGAGAGCAGAGATGAGCAGTGGTCAAGACAGCAAGCGAAGAGTTTTGATCTGAGCAGGCTCACGTGCATGCAATGTTTAAAGACCTTGCTGAGCTCAGACCTAACAGCACAGGCTGTGGAAGATCCACTCATCTATCAGTGAATAAACATCTCCGTCCCTTCATCCCACAGGAATGGGAGAGTCTGCTCTCTGCCAAGTAGCAACACATGTTCTGGACCTTACAAGTCTGTAGGAGAAAGAAGATGAAATTTGTCCAGGCATAATATAAAGTATAACTTGACTTACACAAACTGAGTCTAGTAGTCAACCAGTCTACAGCTAATCCATCCCTTCATGCATCTCAGCCAAATGGCAACTGTAGAGGACAATTCCCAGGCACGGTTTATTTTAGTTAATGGCCAAGATGGAAAACCTGCTGCTCTTAAAACCTCTTTGCTCTCATAACCTCTTTGCTCTCATAACCAGTGCCTCCGAAGAAATCACTGCACAACCAAAAAATGCAAACCTAATGCTACCAAAGATGGCTTCTCCAGGTTCAGCTCTGCTCTGTACCTTAAGAAATAATTCCGAATGCTAGCTAAAAGCACCACCCAAAGACACCTGCCACAACAATGTCTTTAACCACAAAACCACATTCGCTTGCCAGAACTAATTCACTGCTCAGCAGGAAGCATTTAAAGGTGCCTTTTAAGTTTCCTTAGTTTTCTCCCTCTACCCCTGCACAACATTATCACTATTTATTAATTTTCTGGCACTTAACCATATTTTGTTGAAGTAGGTCTCATCATGCAGTAGCATAGCTTCCCAGAGAGTGCTTCATCCTGGAAGATTATGTGACATTTCAAACTTAACTTAGAGCATGTAAGTGACTGCATGGTCCTAATACTGTAGGAACGTTAGAATTTAGCTCACCCATCATTGCAACTGTCCACAATCCTGTCAGCCAGGGTTCCTCCCACTGCTACACAGGAATCACGCTTGTAAGTATACTACAGCAGCAGGTAGCTCATCTCTCCTCCCAAAGCACCTATTATGTACCTATTTCTCACACAATGTCCAGCACAACATGCACGAGCAGGTAGTGAGGAATTAGGACTGACACATTCCTACCTCTTTTCAGAGGAGGAAATCTTGTTGTTCTTGCAGGCAGCTCGCAACAAGAATACACAAATTTTTCAGGGAACCTGCGTAAACCTGATGACACACATGTAACTGCTTTTTTTCCACCTACGTATAAAACAAAGTCCCAAGATTGCCTACCCCAATGAACATTAGAAAGTCTTATAAACATATTTGCTAAAGGTGCAAGGCAGGGAAAAGGAAGTAGACTGGAACAAAAAAACAACCAAAACCAACAAACAAAACCAGTCAACCAAACAAAACCCCAGATTGCATAGCCTGAGACGTGATTTCTCAACAACTGATGTTGGCGTAGTCACAAAAACCTGAAGTGACAATACACAGTATTAGAAAACAACACTTCCTACCTAAAAGCATTCACTGGTCTAAGAGGCTTAGAGCTAGAAACACAAAAGCGTATCAAGTTAAATTCTGTGCTTATACATGAAAGTAACTTGAGAAATAGCAGGTGGATCCCACTGGAAAACATAAGATTTTCTTGCACACCTTGAAACCAGCTTCTCACCGACTGGTTATTGTGTCTCGGGTTTGAATCTGAGCGAGTGGGTGGCATTCATTCCTCTGCTATTCACACCCTTATTACCTTGGCCAGGGCTCTTCCAGCCCTGCTGCGGTCGGCTTCCCTGCCTCCCGTGGGTAGGGTACAACACGTGCGAGTGAGCCAGCGAGCGTGTGATACGCTCATGATTTTGCCCATGCTTGTGAGAGCAGGGGAAAGGAGAAATGCTCCTGACTCACGCCACAAGCACATAGAGCTGGGTAGGAGAGATGGTTCCTGCCTCCGACTCTTACCATACCGACCGCCCCTGCTCCTGCGCTCTTCCAGCAGACACACACGACAGCCACGGGCTGTGTGTCCCCACCATGTGTCTTTCCTTGCCTGTCATTTCTTCCTTGACCATTTTCTCCAGAACTCGGTAAAGGCAGGGCAATGACAGAGAGACCTCCTTCTGCCAAAGGGACTCAGACTCCATTGTTTGGTTAGGCAAAAGAAGTATGCCATGGGCAAGGTAAACCACTCCCTTAGTGAACAGCAGAAGCACTAACCATGAACACCAAGAAAGAAAACAGAGCTTTCCAAGAAAAGCAGGTCTGCAAGAGAAGGTGAGAAGGTGCAACAACAGCTCTTCAAATCTATAAAAAGCCACTGCAAAGAGGACATTACAAAGAAGTGTTTCAATTGAAGCAAGAGAGAACTAAGGTGCTAAAGGAAGCAGTTTTTAATAGTACCAAAGTTTTACAATGAACAGTTTATGCGATTTTGGAGTCTCCATGACAAAGTTTCAAAAACATGTCTAATACATCTCTTACAAGCACTTCTAGTCCTGCTATTTGAAATCAGACACGACGGACATTCAAACATGGACACTTCTTCCCTTTGCTAAGCATGTTGGATTACACTGTGAAACAGAGTTGAAGGGTCCTTCTCCCTCATTCACTCCCACGCTTCCTTGTTCCAACATTTCATTTAACCAGGGCAAAATGTACAGAAAGGAAATAGGAGCCAAGCTCTGGGGTTAGCAATAGCTCCAAGAAGCTAAACAAATATTAAGAGAACTGAGAAATTACTAGTTACTGCACATACAAAGTCCTTCAGTAACAACCTCAAAATGTGTGTCTGATGTCCCGCCAAATATAATACTGGAGGATTTACTACACAGTTTGAGGCGCACTAATAGTTATTAATGAACAAAATTGCACAGATGAGAGTGGCAAACTATTTCATGGCTAGATTGTTTCCAATTGGAAACAGACGGCCTTTTCATCAAGGTAAAACAAATGCCAATACCTATCTTTTTGTAACGAAACCAGTGGTGGCTTAAAAAAGCCAAAAATTTGCCCATACAAAATATGTTCTGCTATAGCAAATTCTGAAGGAGCTGCAGAGATGTAACAGATTTAACCATGGACTTGTCTGCTGAAACAAGTCAAATGCAGTAAGCTCCCTTCCCCTCACCAGCTGGTAAAGTAACACTGGCAACATTACATAAACTACAGCTCTTCATTCCAAAACATGATTTATTTTGCAACGCGTGTAGACAGACACACGATTTCACTAGGAAGGGCACAAATAAAAACATGCTTGAGACAGCACAGTGGCAACAGAGAAACTCCTCGAGACAGTTCAAAAGCCTGCAGAATGGTTGCTGTCAGACTCAGCACTTGGAGAGGAAGGAAAGATGTGAAGAGTATCCCCTGGGAGATCCCTCCAGCTTACATACACAAATATATACATTTTTAACCTTTCACCCAGAGGTGCTGCAGTCCCACAACCACACTACTCTATTAAGGCAAGGGAGAGAGCACTCAAGGGCAACGCAGAGAGATAAAAGGTATCATTATGCAACTGATCTTATATGGGTGTGGCTCACTGGTTTGATTAGCTTAATTGCATTACCAAAGTAGCCAGAGGCCCTGCTGGGGTTTCCATGCATTAGACCCTATATACATGGAATGGAAAAAGTTATCCTGACCCCCTTCCCCAGACATGCTAGTACAAGCTGAAGGTAGAAGAGGTGAAACTGCCAAGAGCCAAGCCAGCACCACTGCAGGATTACGACCGCAACACCCGCCGCCGTGCCCTCCGACAGCAACAGATCTGAAATAGCCCAAATCAGGAGTGGGCTGTGCAAAGTGCTGGGAGGTCAGCAAAGGGAGCAGTTGCAGATGGAAAAACATGCAAATACCTGCTGCAGCCTTCCAGAAGCACCCACGAGAGGGCAGCATGTGCCAGCATATGGAACAGGCAGCCCACCAGGAACGTGCTAAAAAACTCTTTCCAAAAGGAAAAATTAATGTAGGCATGGGACACCTGCAAATCAGCAGAAGGCTGGGTACCATAAGCTCTTTTTTACTTGGGCACTGGAAAAACTGAGGAGAGCATCAGCTTTAATGTTCATGACTTAGCACCCAAGTTTGGCATTTGATGCTCCAGGATGCAATTCTAACACCGAAGACATGCAGCAGACTCCCTGCCTGGTTGTTCAGCCCTTGCACATTCAGCCTCTGTCTGGCACTGGGCCCGACACGTTTTCATGAGCGACATTCGTGCAAGCTGTGACGGGAGACTCACGTCTGTCCTGCACTTCTGGAGTTCACATGAAAAAAGATTATGTCCAAACCTACTCATTTTTATAAAAGTTAAAGATGCTCTTCCCAGGCTGCCCAGCATATTGCCCACGATTTCCTCATTCAGTTGCACAAGGCATGAGCACAAAATTGGCACAGGATCTGTTGCTATACATTTGATCAATGCCCTAATACCCAGCACCAAACGAAAACTCAAAACCAGCAGCGAGGATGTTCGTCAGACGGCCAAATACAAACGCCATCTTGACAATGCCATTCTGAAGGCAAGGGGAAACAGCAAAACTCAAACCAGAAACATTTACATTAGCAGTTTGTTGCACTGTAAGATCTTAAAACAGCCACACGCTGCCAACAGAAGAAAAAATTTTGTATTATATGCAATGAGAAGAGCCTTGTACAGGAGACTCTCTCACCCCCCTGCAAGGTTCAGTGAAAAATTGAGTCCTTAATGCAATTTACTTCCTTCCACAGATGCAAAGTAGAATTTTCATACAGTACCTTAATACACTGCTCTAATTATATGCTTTAACTCCCTCCTACACTCTACAATTAATAATCTTTTCTTAATACCTGTATTTGTGTGAAGCTATAGGAAAACAAGCAACTTAACTGGTTTTTTTCTCTTTCAAAGTAAATCTGATTTTGATAGTTTTGCAGGGTCTAAGTCACCAGTTGCTATCCTTTAATTACTACACAAAGAAGGCTCTTTGATATTTAAAAGGCACCCAAATCATGACTTGTTTCTCTTAGATGCCACACAACACTGCTCTTCTGCCATCTATCTTCACCCGTTGATAGAAGTGCCATAGAAAAGGAAAATTATCTCTAATTTTAGGAACCACTTGAAGTAATAGCACAGTAAAGTAAAAAGCAAAGAATATCAGAAGCTGTAAAAAAGTTTAACTTGATACTCCAGTCCCTGTCACAACAAAAATAGAAATTCAGAGGCAGATACTCAAACTAAAAAAATCCCTGTGTTTCTATTAACTGTAAGATCATGAGAAATTAATATGAAAATATGATTCTTAAATTTTGTTTTTAAAATGTAGTAACTGTACTGCACTTGCTACCTGCACATTCAGTCTAAAGATGAAGTTCTAGGAAAACGGGAAGCCTGTCCCTTCAGTACAAGGTTATCACTATTAATGGTCTTACAAGTGTAGCTATACCCTTTATACAGGGTCACCCAGAGAACATTTTGTTCATCGGCATGACTTCTCAGTGGCACTTGTGATGCTTCATCTGTAACACATGGATCAAAGCGTAGGTCTGATCTCACTTCACATACACATCAGTGGTTTAGTTCAACCTAGTTTGGAGGGCTACCTCTTTTCAGCATTGCTCTGGAGATGTATGCAGCCCCATCAGTAGCACTCCACAGCTGAACTGGAGGACAGATGGAGTACTTGCAAACAACTATAATCATAAAATTTAATTCTATTCCAACAAGGCACTTTCCACTATCTGAGTTTTATCTCTTCACATCCAACTAGACAGACAAGGATCTTTAACAAAAGAAAAAAATTGCCAACAAAAAAACGACCCCTAAACTGCTGTACTTTATAATCCCCCTTATCACAGAGAATGAACAACAGAACTGCAGAAGTTCATTCCATGAATTAGGATTAAAGTTTCTATTTAGGATTAATTAACGGGAGTCAGGGGAAAGGAGGAAAAATGGCCTTATTGAGCAGTCACCCAAACTTGCTTGATTCCTTTTTAGCCCCCATACCTTGTTCTGCCAGCTTCTTGGCTGCTGGAAAGATACTTCAAAGCAGACAGTGTAAGAAATCAGTCTAGTTTTAGAAAAAACACTCTAAACACAGCCAATCTAAACAGCGCCACATATAAAACTTGCTACAAGGTTGCTCTGTCAACAAGCTTTGTTGAAGGATGTCATGCTGCCAGGGCATTAGAGAAACCACCGTGTCAACTGCATAAATGCTGTTTTAAAATGAAATGCTTTCCTGTGATCACCCAGGAACAGAAGTGCTTGCAAAAATACCTTCCTAAGGGCCACAGGTCACAGCACTTAGGAAATGCCTGGAGAGTTATTGTGCTTCATTAATGGAACAGGCTCTATTTGTCTGGAGTCCCTCGTCTAATCAATTAGAAGCAGCAGCAAAATGCCACACCATATTACAGTGCCAAGAACGAATATTACAAAAGCCTGCTATCACGGCTGACTTCTGACCAAAAAAAACAAGTTAGAGTACAAATATAAACATAACTTTAAAAGCTCAAAGCTTTAAACATTTTCCCTGAGATCTGATGCTAAGTAACTTTCAGTTACTGGGAGACATCGTACTTACTAAAGTCTCAAATGATGATAAGAAACATCGTCCTGCTCCAGCCATGGTCCCTTGTCAAATTTCAGGTACTCAATGTCTTCAATTACCTGGAATCAGAAGATAAAAATCCCACTAAGAAGTGGTCTGATCAGGACACCCAAAAAATCAATGAACACGCCCCCCACATAATGAAATAACCAAAATATATTATTAAACAAGTCACCCCGCAAAAAGATTGTGCTGCTAAAGCCGTATTAACAATGCAAATGTTTACAGCCAACATATCATCTCCCAGCCATATTTCTGGAGACTGTGGCCCCACCATAAGCGCTGGGCAGACACATGGAAAAACAGGAAGCTCGAGTTCCTGGCGCTTTCAGCCTTGGTGAGCCAAGGATGGCAGGGAATAAATCAGCTGAGGGGTGCCTTGTCTCTGAATTCTTACCTGATCCAAGACACTCTTCCTCAGCCTGCCATTGGGGCTGAAAGGAAGCAAAAGAAGGCACAACCCCACTCAAAGGTAAAATGAGAAGGAAAGGGAAATAAGTCTAAATTTAACTCCCTTTTGTTGCAAACAAAAATCATCATGCTACATAGGAAGCCTGGCTTGGTCTGTTTTGTTTTGGTTTTTTTCAGAAAGACTCAGTGGCATACTAAATGAGATAGGCTGAGGAGCAATTGTGGCAACTGCCTCTCGGTGCTGCTGTGTGTGGTTCACATCACAGAAACAGAGGCATGTTTCAGGATGGAACTCAAACACACTTGAAGTAGCCATACTGACAGAAATCCAGAGGCTGAGGATTTCATCGGTCATCGGGACCTACCCATGCATGCACCCTGAGCTGAAAGGAAAGGTGTAGAACACACAGCTCAGCACCCAGGAACCATTCAGACAAGTAACTCCAGCTCAGCGAATCATCCCCAAACTTATCAATCCCGTATTTGAGCTTCATTTACAACCTGGTTCCACCAGAAAACAAATCTTTGCTGGTCCACTGGGTAATTGCTTAACACAAGCCTGAGGTCATCATCACACACAACTGACTAGATCTGAAGGAAACCCGAACTAGTGTCAGGAGGAGGCATTTAAGGTGCATGATGAGGTGGAGATAGTACCTTGAAGCATCTTGGGAAAGAGTGGATTGTTACAGTGCCAAACATCACTTTTCAGAGGCCTTTTCCAGAAGGAAAGGATAAATCTATGAGGTCAGGACTGAAATCCTGATGACACACTGACAATCTATTGGTAATAGGCAGAGGCCAGCAATAAAGTGAGTGGTAGAATAATAAATGAAAAATGCTTCTCTTCTTTACTGTACATTAAATCTACTACAATCATTCCCTGCAGTCACAGCAAACACTAAATCCCATCTATTACCACTTAAAAGGCAACAACAAAGTGCTATTACAAAGTAGCTTCGACTATAAAGGCCCATGCTATTACCATTATTATGTTTTTATGGTAAGAAATAATGGCTTAGAGGTACAACTGCATGATCACTTTCCTTGAGGCATTTATATTTCTTAAAGACTAATTTCGCTGATAAACACTTTAAAATGGTTGACATGACATCACCAAAGCATATTTAAAACTTCAAGCAAGTTTCACTGCTCTTTAACCATTCTTGACCTCGTAGAGAGAGGCATAGCTGGCAAGCCAGATACTGTAACTGAGAGCATAGAGAACCTACTTTTCACATAAAGAAAAAAGCCAACAGCTAATCAACCTGTTGATGGAAAAACATTTCAGACCTCAAAGAACACTACAGAAGACTGCACCACATATATTTAGAAGAGTTTGCAAAATTGTATTTAGAAACAGCTTCTTCCTACTAGACTGTGGTAACATAACTCCCCAAGATAAGCATTCAAAGATGTGAAGAGAAAGGAAGGTGTGTGGTAAGTTAATTCAAATATCCACTATTTATTTTAATTATTTGATTTAAAAGCTGAACCTCTACTGTACTTTCCATTAGCTATGCAAAAGCAATTACTTCTCTACTCCACGGCAAAGCCTTGGAAACCCCCCGCTATGGCTGACAACAGGACTAATAATAGAGTTGCTAACAACAGGACTCGGAATATGTTGCAGGGAAAAAGAAATCTCTATCCAAATTAGTTTTGCACACTCTTATTATCATATCAGAAGACATGTCTCCTAGCAGCTCGTTAACAACAGTATCAGCCTCCCAACCAGGGTAGAACAGCAGCGTCTTAATTTACAAGGAATGCCCTGGGTCCCCTTGGGAATTAGCAGCAAATGAATGATTTAGACCTGATTGCAGCACAACTTGTAATAATTTCCAGGAGAGATCAGGTCTTAATATACTGCAGAGCATGGCAGGATTTAGAAAAAAACGGTTTCAATAATGAAACCCTTTTCTGTAATCTTTGCAACTAAGCCAATAGCTTACAATTTCTAAGCTTGTTTCACAGTGACCTGGTGAGTGCTGGGCGTGGAAGAGCTGGGGGGGTGGCAGGCAGCAGAAGGTGACACTGTTTTTATTCATGTCATTTATGAGGACAAAACCACCAAACCCCGCCAGGCTGCTCTGTCAGCTGACTTCTGCCCAAACTCCTACCTCGCAGGTCATTTCTTTAAGTGACAGACACACACATGGAGCGATGCAGGCTACAACCCTACAGAGCTCAGACCACAGCTTGCAGGAAAGAGCTCAGCCCACATACAGCACCTACAGCTGAAAAATTCGTGCAGGCTAGCTCTGGAGCATTCCACTTCTGCACTGGCAAAGGACACGGCACAAAGTTGGTCTGTCAGCAGCCTCCCAGCTTCAGCATCTTCTCCAGTTTGGGTAAGCTGGTGACACTGAGTAAAACTGACACATAAATACAAAACACTACTCACCAGCACAGACAAATTGAAACAGTTTTGGTTAAGTTTTAAAGTTACTTCCTTTCTACTCCCACCTCTTTTTTAATATCCAGGGCTTAAAAAAAAAACAAAACAAAAACACACCAAAATTTAAACAAGCACAGCTAACTTTTTATTCCCGGTTTTATCCTCATGTAAAAGCAGTCTGAAACACCCTAACAAAGCTCATTTCAGCACTTACCACTCCTTTAGCTGCTACAACCAATGTTAATTACAATGTGAAACCCAGACTGGTTTTTAAAAAACTCTTCAGAAACAAAAGTCATTTCTAGGTTGTGTATGTCTGCTGTGAGCAAATCAAAAGCCATTGAACTATAAGGTCATAAAAAAATTGAGCTCCCAAATCACATAGCAAATCATCTGTAGATTGAAGCTAGCTAATAGTTAAACATTGCTATCTATCAGCAGGATACACCTGTGTAAACAAACACCCTACAAGTCAAAACCAAATCCCTCCTGCCAACCCTTCTTTCCAAATTTCATCTATTTCATTCCAAAGGTAAACTGAATCTGGACAGAAGGGGAAAAAAAAAACTTTGTTTTTTGAAGTATAAAGAGTACCAGTGTCTATAGCTAACATCTAACAATGAAAATGATACCATCTTGTACTTGACTTCAAAACAGTAATCCTTCCTCTAGTCCAGATTTTTCCAACCAAATTAAGAACTAGATCAGTGCATACTGATGACCCTACGTACACTGATGACACGAGATTACTGAGCTTGGTAGACTCTCCACTTGAGCAATAAGAGCTTCAGACTGACTTTAAACCCTGACTTAAAGGATTAAAATAAAATTTCTAGCAATGGGGTTTATTACCAAAAAAAAAAAAATATAGGGAGGAAACAAACTGCTTTATTCTGACTACTTCAAGATGTGCTCAGAGAGAAGGAAGGGGAGAAAACAAGCAATAACCTCCCATCCCAACTTTCTCTTATTTCTTCTACCAAACATCCACGGTTACCTTCTTGAAACACCACAGTTCCCAAATCTTATCTTTTATGTTATCTGGAAAAAACTAACTATAATTGCTGACCTCAGTTTTTTGTTCCTTTCAGCTTCTTCCCATTTCATTATTTCTGTCTCAAAAAAAAAAAAAAAAAAATCTAAAAATATGACAGAAAACATATTATTCTTGGGATGCTGATCCTTCTTGTCACCGAGGATGCTTCTCACTGCAAAGCCAAATCTTCACTGTGGCTTCAAGTGTGTGAACTTTGACAAGGACTGCCTTCTAGCTGCTATATGCCTTTATCTACCACAGAAGCAAGGGCACCCCTACCCTGCTAGCACTAAAGAAATATTTCCATTTTTATGCACGTGAAAACAATGAGGCTGAGCTCTCGATTTTTCACAGGGGTACTCACAAGACTGAAACCTCAGAGATTCAAGAGCTCTTTGAAAACAGTAATTTCAGGACTAAGATAAAATGTGAAGGTTTACTCTCTTCAGTCATTTTTTCCCTTCCTGAAAATGACACAAAAGGATTCATGTCAGAATTGTCAGCTGGTAAAGGTTGCAGGTAGCTATCTGCATAAATACAGTTGATCTCAGAACAAAGGGAAAGGTCTTTAGTGTTTTTTGAAGCTTCCAGAAACACCTCATTTTCAGAGATTTTAGAAATACTGCAGTATTCCAAATGCAACCAGTAGCCTCCTTGAAGTGTGATTTCGCAGTGAACTCCTATTTAGCTGCTGTCACACTGAGGCCACCAGCCCTTTTTTGTGGGTATAAACTCAAACTGCCTCAAAAGTCTAGTGGTTAATAATGGTAACCTCTAATTTCAAGCACATGAGTGTCCAGAGATCCAGCCATGACAGGGCAGGACCCAAAATGTGGCACACAGCCATATTCTCGTAAGGGGAACTAAAAGGCCTAGAAACCTACAGCAATGCAGCTAACTGGGCTTACATGTTTAGGACCAGAAAAGTCCTTATTAGTATCTTCTGCTTCTTTTTGCATGGAAACATGAGGATATTAGGTGCAAGTTGCTGTAATGTACAAGGCCAACTAAAACCCACACTTTGTTCTTCCAAAGTCAGGCTTGAGAGCAGAGAGTTTACTGCAGACGGCTTCAACTGAAACAGATTCATCACCAACTCCAACAGCAGGAACCAAGCTCAAAGACAGACCCAGGAGATTTTTCCAGGCCCTTGCTCCCAGGATTGCTCTCAGCAACTGCTAGTCTGGAAAAACCTTCCCCCCAGTTTTATTGCTAAGCATGACAAGACATGGTGTGGAATATCCCTTTGGTCAGTCCGGCTCAGGGGTCCCAGCTGTGTCTCCTCCCAAAGCTCTGCACACTCAGCTTTACGTCAGGGGGCACAGTGAGAAACAGAGACAGCCTTGATACTGTGCAAGCACGGCTCAGCAATAGCTAAAATCCTGGTGCATTATCAATACTGGTGCATTATCAACACTGTTTGGGTCAGATCTAAAGCACAGCATCATATGGGCTCTTGTAAAGAAAATTAACTCGATCCCAGTCAAACCCAGTCCATCAGCAAGTGAGCACAGCAGTAATAAGCTGCCTCCTGCAACACTGAGAAATGTTCAAATATGCTTTTTTCTTTTTTTGAAGAATTCCACATAGGCAATAAGCAGGTGGAAACCTCCCTTGCTATAAATGCCAAGGCTGGGCTTAAGGATCTTTAGTTAAGCACTGACTTGGAGGCTTAGCTAGGAAAGGCTCTAAGCCATGTCCCATGGCAAGATGGAAGTGCCCCCACAAAACTACATGCAAACCTCTGCAGTAAGATGGCCTGATACCTGCTGAATGTCATACATAGTGCAGGTGGAAGGACAGGTGCTGGTATACTGAGATGAACGTTTTCCCTTTGCATCTGATTTCGGAAAGCCGAAAAAAAAGTAAGCTTTCCATCTCAAAGTAATCACCCTGCCACTTCTCTCTCCCCAGCTGATTTAGGAATTAATCACATACTGCTGTGTAAAGGCCTGGACCTATTTCCTAAAGCAAAAAGCAATATAACCAGCCTCATATTTCTTTTCCCCCCTAACAGAGGAAAGGAGAACATTAAGTGGACTCTAGAAGTTAGAGTTTTCAAACAAGAAACACAGAGAATGAAAATATTAAAGTCAGCAAGACACATCTGAAAAGATACTTTTAGTGCAGCTGGGATCCTTATTGCTACTACAGAATTCAAATGAGCTTTGAGGGATTCACCGTGTAACTGCCAGCATTAGAACTGGAATGGGCCTGCATCAAACTTGTCCAAAATTACAGAAAGCTTGTTGCTCTTTCTGGCAGGAGACAGCAGCTACAGAGAAAAGTTAACAGTGGGGAAGAAAAAGGCTCCTATTATCCCATTAACAAACCTCCATGACCAAGAATGTTTGCTGAAAAAAGGCAAATATATTACACCTAGTCCAAAAAATAACGCGGTTGAGTAGAAGGAAGCAGAGGTCTCATGTTAATCCTGTCACATAAGAGTTGGCTTATTTCTAGCAATGAGAAGGCAATTTATCTGGTTTGGTCCAGGCCTATTATGTCTGGCAAAACCATTTGGATTAAAAAAAAAAAAAAAAAAATGCGGTTTAGATTCCACATGCTAGCTCATACAAATTAATAACATGGGGTTACAATACTTATAACAGCCCTGGTTATCCAGCTGTTTGCTATAACCAAATAAAGACTAGCTTTTAGAAAACAACCGCTGTTTTATCACACAGGAACCTATGCACCCACCTGGACCACAGGAGGCTGCACAATGGCAAAAGCCAAGAGACAGACATTATACTGGTAGACAAAGTCTCAGCTGAATGTTGGGGGTGACTTACCTCTTGCTTAATGTCATTAGTTCCCAAATTGAGCTATGCAGAGCCTTGCTCATCCCACCAGCCACTTCAAACAGGGATGCTGACTGAACAACCAAACACTCACTGCACAGCTCAGGAGGGATTCAGGAAATGCTGTTTCCACTTCCCTCACAGAATTTACTTGGAAAAATAAACCCGATTTGGAAACACTCAGCATATGTTACATCAGACAAAAGACACTAAAAAGAGTATTAGTCATAATCATGTGGCCTATCGGGGGCTTTGCTTGCTCAGACAGTCAGGTATCTCAGCAAAAGGGTGAAGGGCAGGTGAGATTTCCACAGTCCTGACAAAATGACACACACTCATCAAAATGTTCTAATACAGACCCAGCCCAGATCTTTGTCATAGCAACAAACACTAAATGCATTAAGTGGTTAACTAAGTTTGCTATCTAGGACAATATATTTCCATTTCAGTCTTGGAAGATTAAAGAGGAGAAGAAAAAAAAAAAAAACAAAAAAACAAAAACCAGCATATGCAGCAAACTCTCACCTTCTCCACATCCTCTGTGTCAGCTGCTGTGTACTGCAGAACTTCACTGGTCTTGCTGCAAAAAGGAAAAAAATTAGTTCCTGTGATACAACTGCTCTACCCATCTTCTCTCTCCTGCTCCAAAAATGAAGCAGAAATTAATTTAAAAGGCATGAACACAGGACCAGAATCATTACAGTTTTTTATAATGCTTACAAAGCTCTCACAATAGAATTCCTATTAGAACTGTAAGTTGCTTCTTTCTGGGTGGAAAATTGTTTTTAAAGGGTAAATGGCCCGTGGTACTTACATAGTTTCAGTTAAAAATAATTTAAATCCCACCTATGAATTTGTTTCCATTTCACTAATGTGGATACTTGCCCTAATCACAATTGCCCAATTTATTTGAATCCAAGTGAAATTTTCCAACAGTCTAACCCCAAAGTTCAGTAGACCTTCCTTTTTACAAGTACATTAAAACCTGTGGGTAATTATTAAGAGAATACACTCATTCATCATTATTTACTAAGACTGAGCTAACCAAACCAATACAACGCAGGCAGCAAGGTCTGTAAGATTGAAAACATTTAAAACAGGTAATAGCTTCCTGGTTACAAGATTGTTTTCTTATCCATACAGCAGCTTTCATAGAAAAGTCACTTGCAGAGCATTTCCACAACAGGAGTTCCTATATGAACATGTTTCACTACTATATACACACAGCCACCCTCAGTAACAGTTGTTCCCAAACCTGCTTCAGCTGCCCTGAAAGACTTTTCCTTTAGCTGACAAAAACTTGAGAGAATAAAATGGATGCCCAGTGTACACGGTGTATCAAACAACACACAACAAAGCTGAAGAGCACAGAAAAGAATTTGCAGACTTTTTGCTTAGCACAATCACTTTCAAGTTTAATCAGGATTAAGGCTGGCAATCTAAATTGCTCTAAGTAGACACATCACCAAAATTATTTATAACTGCGGCAGTCCAAACTAGTTCCTGGTGTGCATTAACACTAGTCAGTCAAAACAGCTCTGATAAAAAAGTTCATTTAGAAAATGCCTTTTATTCCTACGAACCCCCAAGCTCTTACAGTCAGTCATTCAACTGGTGCTCCTAGTAGGGGAATTACTTAAAGAGTTTGTTCTCAACTTGAGAACAAAGCAGGAAGTCTCACATAACTCTCCAGTCACAGAAAGAAAATAAATGGCCTCCTTTCAAAGGGAGCTGCTGTGACAGGGTAGCACGCATACTCACATCCTTCAATATCAACTGCCAGTAATCAAAGGGAGAGGTCAGACTTGACCAGAGTCTTATACTGGCAATTGCATTAACAATGCAGATCAAATCACTTGATACTCTGCCGATTATTAGGGCTTTCATTAAGAGAAAACAGCTGCTCAGTGGAAGCAGTATTGGATATGAAGGAGAACATTAGCCATCTTAGGGCTTTGGTCCAAGAAAAGAAAAATCAAATGAGAAGCAAATTGTCTGTTCAAAATCACGAGGTAGTACCTGCCACAGCACCAGGCACTATCAAAAGAAACATTAAAAGACATTCCTAAATACATCAGACTAGAACGAAAGCACCAATTTTAAGACAGCCACATATCCACTATGAAACACACCCCTTCAAACAGTATTAAGTTATTCCAATTAAATGGAACTAGGTAACAGGAATTTTGCTAAACAATAAATTAAACTATTTTCCTGCTACATTTCAAGAAAAACAAGAGAGCAAACCAACATAAATTTGAACATGGAAAGCATGCAGGAGTTTGTTCAGTCTAGAACAACTTTTTAGCCTGTTTGAACCAGATTTTGGTCATCCTCAAGCGTTAGGGAATCAAGTGCTTAGTCTGCCTAGATACTAACAGCCAGGCATGAATATAGTTCACTATACAGTTCACTGAAAGCCAGCAAACAAACAGTTAAAGACAGTTGAAGCTTCTGCATATTTATCCAATATACAAGCCATCAGTGAGGTCCAGAGATGCACAGAGCTGAAGTTTCACACGTCCACAACTCCCCCGCACCAAGGGGACCGAGATGTCCTCCTTCAGACCCGAGCACAAAGATTGATCTGACAAGCTCTCGTAAGCCCATCCGCCGAGGAGGATGCCAAGCAGAGGGCGTTTGCTTAACAAGTGTACTGACCACGCACCGGCAGAGGGGAAGGAGTTGAAATCACAGCAGGACCGGGTCAAGGATTTAGCCTCACTAAACACGACGCTGTATTTCTGGGGCTCGATTTGATCCAAAGAACCAGCAGCGTTTTTCTCCTCGCCGGTAAATTCAAAGCAGTTCTGCCCTCTGGGGGATGGAAGTCCCAAGGCTTCCCACCCTCCCTCTCCCTTCCTTAGCCCCGGCCTCCCGCCGAGAGCTGTGGGGGGGCCGCTGACCTCTGGGGGATGCACTGGGAGGCAGCTGACCATGCATCACACCAACAGCTTCTGCCCTGTATGAATGACAAGCTCAGTATGAAGTTATTCAGTTCAATTGCTGACAGCGCAATTAGACTGATTTAACCCTGGGAGATGGAGCAAGAAAGCAAGGGGAAACAAGCAGGCTGCAATATACCTGAAGCTCTACTTTGACTTCAAGAGCTTCATGCACACACCAAACCTTGCACAATTAGAGATTGTTTTGATGTAAAGTAGGCCTGGCTCTGTGACCTTTAAGAGCTTCCCTTCCAGAAAGCTATTTATTTATGAGGGATTTACATGCTTTTAGATTTTTGATCCAAACAGTTTGATTTTTGATAGACCTCTTCTATAGGAACTGGGACAGCTGGCAAACTGTAACAGTCTACTCATCTCAAGTTTACAGAGCACACATGCTTGCTTTCCAGCTAGAGAAACCCAGGGGAGCCCAGAGGAGAGCACCTTTAGTCTCTCAGAGCAGACAGCAGTGCAGTCTTTATTTAACAGCACCAGCAAGTCCGTCAAATCCTTTTCAAATGTGGAAGACTGTCAGGTGTATGCCTCATGAGGTGGAGAAACAGAAGCAGAAGAGGGAACAAGCCCTTACCTGCAAACCTTTTTCTCCTCTCACTCTGTATCACTATCAAGAAACTAGCCAAAGCTGTGACAACCGAGAGGTGGTTTTAGGAGAATAAAATCCCAAACTTTCCCAAAAGGCCTAAGAAAAACTTACATTGTATCAGACACTCCTCAAATCACGCAAACACAAACACTGCTATAGCTGTAGCATTCTGGACATCACTCCAAGAAAGCACTCCAACCACTGCTGCAAGCTAAGAGAAAGAGAAACAAGGGTGCCAACGCCAACCACACACAGCACTGTCAGAAAAGGGAGACAGAACTTGTTTTGCAGAGCAAATAGACCCAATACCTGGCTTTGCTGCTGAAGTGCTCTTAACTATGAACAAGTTTATGCTTCCCTGTATCTAACTTGATGACATCAAAGTTGCAATGACCCAAGACAGCCGGATCAAAACAACATACTGCAGACTGGGGCTCATTAGCTCTGAAATATATTTGCAATGTATTGCAGTTGGACTCAATGATCTTAGAGGTCTTTTCCAACCTAAATGATTCTATGATATTAAATAGGTCATTTAATGAAATCCCATGAATTTACCAGTGTACAACATTTCACACTCTCTGAATCTGTTGAGTCAAAAAAACATTGCTTTATAAAGCTCACACCTAAAAAACTTCATTTGTAAGCTTCCAACATTGTAACACTGGCACCAGGCTTCTCAGATGCCAGAGCTAACTACACACAAGTATACAGTTCTTATGCCATGGAAGCAATACCCCATCATTAGGGCATAATATCATACCACATAGCACAGAGGATTTCTCACATGACGTGGTTTTATTTGCTTATATTGGCAGAGATTTTAGGATTTGCACACATTTTTACTCAAAGACTCAGAGAAAAGCATCTGGTTTGCTAACCTGATCTCCGGTAAGAAGGTTTGCTTGTAAGCATCCTCAATATTCTGCAGATACAAAGGAGACACCTTTTTCTCATATGGCTAAAAATAAACAGAAAACAGTGTTATGAAATTACTTTTCTTTTTCCCACTGGTGCAGATTCCAGTCTAGGCAGAAAGCAATGTTACACCATCTGTCAAAAGCTCACTCTTGTATTAGCAGCCAAATGTCCAGTGAACCACACACACATTAATGAAAATTTTCACAATTAAGACATCTGGAATATTTAGAATTTCTTATGTATCACTAAAAATCTAGAGTACTCCAAGGAACAAGTCAGTCTGCACTAATTGCTGCTTTACCATGTACTATTATGTCCACTGTTTTAATAATTAGCTGTATGAGTAAGATTCTTCAGATACGTTAGTGAATCTAGAAAGGAAAAGCAGGTTCAATGAAAGAATGTAAAAGCAAAATAAACTTTCTTGCAATTTATTTCACTTGGTTACAGTAATCACTTCATTTTCATGAGCTCACATAAACCAAGAGTCAGTCTCAAAAAGTTTAACTTTCCAAGGACTGATTAATCCTAGCTGCCTGCATATTCAAGCAATATAGAAACATCCAGAAAAAAGGAGAATCATAGAACAGAAGACTGTCTAAGTCTTCCTTTTCAATGACAGGGCCAACGTGCATCCACTTCTCCAGTTTCAGAGAAATGCACGGGCAACCACCTACTCCAAAAACCTTTCACTGAGATTTCATGGCTATTATATCTGTTGTTAAACACCTCACCCCAGCTATATCTGCCACACGGTATACTTTAATGCCACATTTGCAAAATGCCATGAATTTGTCTAATCTACCACGTGTTCCTTCAGTTCAATTCTAAAATTAAATTACATTTCCTGCTTGAAATGTTCATCCAAGATGCCCATTATGCTGGAAGGATCTATATCTCTGCTAGCTGAGCCCACTGAAGGGCTTTTCTTGTTCCAGTGCCCTGCAACAACAGTCCACTGAATACCAATCAAAACATTCCATCCACCAAGAAGGCAGAATTCCCCAAAATACCATCACCAAACAAGCACTAGTGTCCAGCAGTGCCACTGCCCCAAGGAAGTTACAAGTTGCAGCAGCAATTTCTGCTAGAAGGTCTCGAAAATGCCACTGAACTTTAATGCTCATAAGGGCAAAGGACTCACAGGTTCCCATGGTAAAATTAAGAAGCTTCTAATTCTGTCACTGAAGTCACTAAAACAAAAAAGCTATGGTTTTCCTATACAAAAGTATCTTGTTCGTTAAAGCGCAGAGGCACGTTCAGTCACAGCCTGAACTGCTGGAGGGCAGAAGGGGAGAGTCACTCCATCAGTAGGCTAAGCAATTCAAGCCACACAGATCACGAAGCAGCAAGGGCAGCCTTCCATTTACGGCTCTGAAGCCACTTCCCTTCAGCAATCATCAGTCTCCCTCTTAAATGAGCAGGAGACTGCACAACAAAACGCTGCTAGCTCACCCTAGCACACTAACATACACATACATGCTCCAAGAAGCAGGCAGCGCCAAGCATTTAAGAATTTTTTACTCATAACTCAAAGTTTTCTTTGAATCTATCAGGCTTTCCACAGTTAAATACCTCACTTGACTACAATTTCCCTCAGCCTTTGAGCAAGGTACAAGGTAAATATCATTTAATCCTCATAACACATCGGAGAACAATTAGAAGCACATGTCCAAATATCGCAGGAGGGGGAGGAAAAAACCCCAACCAAAAACCTTACTTAGATTAGTCATTATACAAAAACACTCCACAGCCTTTCTGATCCAAGACTGTATCAATAATCCAGTAATCCAATATGCTTATACAATGAGAGAGATCTGAAGACAATGCTACAGAAATTCATTTTCTTTTAACAGTAGTCTCCATCCAATGCCATGAATTCAAGAGACATCCTGAAGAGGGAAACTATACCACCCTCAGAGAAAGCGTTTTGAAATGAAAAGTGACAATGTCCCACAACTGTCGAAGATCAACAATGGCTAAGAGTCACAAAGCATGACCTCAGACTAGACTGAAGTTGCGCTAGTAACAAGAAGCCAACTGTATTTCTCATCAACTTTATGTGAGATGACTCCTGAAACTGCTCTTTTTCAAGAGCAGGTGAATTTCATAGAACTTCTCATTACAGAAATTACAGCATGCTGATGCAATGAAAAAAAGTTTTTGGTTTTTTGGGGGTTTGTTTTTTTGGTTGGTTGGGGTTTTTTTTTGTTTTGGGTTGGGGTTTTTTTTGTGTGTGTGGGGCGGGGGGGAGTGTTTTTTGGTTTTCTGGAGGTTTTTTTGTCTGTCTGTTTAAAGAGCAAGCATACCAGAATACCCAGTCATCACCAACACAGTTCTTATACCTAAGAGGACAAGAAGCTTTTCCAAAGCAGAATTTTGCATCAGACCTCAATGAATCTCACAAAAAGGCATAATTACAACAGATATTAATGGGCAGTATCACTAGCAAGAGAGCAAGGTACCTCTCCTTTCTCCTGGATCCTCTTCTGCACCTCCGGGACAGGCACATCTAGATAAATGACCAAGTGAGGTGGCAGGAATTCACAAATACTGATATCTTTGACCTCGTTATAGTGATCAAGACCTGTATAAAGACAGAACCAAGCACACTGGAGCTTTAAAGGCAGCCCAGCTGAACACATACACATGTTCCAAATGAGGACAAGTGCAATAGGAACAGCATTAAATTTATAACCTATCAGGTAATGAACCTGCAATCATTTCTTGAATGTTTTTTCCTGCATTTCCTAAACACATTCTATTTGCAAATAAGTCACATCCCACATCTTTGTATTTGCAGCCTGCCCTTCTTGACTGGTATAGCAAGTTTAGGGTAGGCTTTTCCTCAAATAGGATTCAGAAGTTTTTAGAATGAACAATCTCCCAGAAAGTAAAACACCATGAAATTAAGAAGCTACAAACACTGAGATATGAGAATCTAACATCAGTTTTATCAACGTGGATATTTACTTCTAACTTAAGTTTAGAGAAACCTATTTTTTTCCATGGAGAGACTGTGGCACCCAGGTCAACTGAGGTGATCCCTGGCCAGGGCTGCCTTTTGCCACAGCTTCATAAATAAATGGCCCCATCCTACCACAAAAATGACAGTGTGGCAAAGGTGGCAATGGAAAAAAAGCCACATACTTCAAGATGACTGTGCAAAATAAACTCTATTTCCCACCACGGGAGAAAACGCAAGGATCAGACAGGCATTTACCATGCCCTCTGGTGCATACAGAAAATCATGCTGGGGTGAAGCAGCCAACCCAGCAGCATCCCTCCCTCACCTGTATTGAAGGAATACTCTGTACTACTGTTAGTCAAGAGCTCTGGGCTCTACACGAGCAACAGCAGACCTCTCCAAAATCACAACCACTAGACTCCATTATGGAGGACAGGACTAGAGGACCTCACCTTCCCATACAGAAAAATCTATCTGAGAGCAGTTGGTCTGTTCTGTGCAACTGGGTGGTTCTACTACGTCAATCAATAACCTGAAGCATTTTTGGGGTAATAGTTGGCGATGATGAAGCCACACAAGTTCAGGGGAAACATCTATTCCACATTTAAGTAGCACGAACAGCACAGGCTCCATTTAACCGAGCTCAAGTGCAGGCTTTCCTCAGTAAGACTCACCAGCTTAGCCAGAAATGCAGTGCCAGGCTTTCAAATTCAAATGGATTGTAAAAGAATCGAAAGCCTACTGTGCTTGGCAGCACAGTAAGCAGCAGTCAGCAGTACTTCTAATCACGATGTTTGCTGTTGAAGGATTCAAGTATAATCCATTACCTGTTGTCAGAATTTGGTATTAACTATAAATTGTGGGTTGCTGGGCTTCGCTTGCCTCTCCAATGCAAAGCAGTAAAACACAATTCATTACAACCAGCTCTCAAACTCATTCAGCAAGAAGTTGCAGTTTTCAGCTGGTGTTATAAAAAATACACCCCTCCTAAATCTAAGCCAAATCAAACAAGACAGCAGAAACACAAGGCAGTCAGGGAAACAATTACCTTCACCCCAGGGGCAGCCAAAATGCCAGATTTGCTAAGAACTGGCAGAAACAACAATTTCAATAGCAATTTATTTAGGGGTCTGTTGATGACTGGGATTTACAGCTATTTTCTCCAGACTTTCAAGCTTTTGTGCAGCTATAAGTTTACATGTTTTGGCTGTGGCTGGTGTCCTACGTGTGCCATGTATCCGCTCTATTCCTAGTCAAGGGATGGAGACTGAAGGAGCCTGCCCACAAGGCTCCAGCACAGTAACACTGTGCTGCTCAGGAGCTCAGTGCCCATAACCCTGAAGCAACACATCCCTGAGGTTAGATGGAACATCTACAGATCAGCTGGTTCAACCACTCTGCTCAGAGCCAGGTCAACTAGAGCAGGAGGTTCAGCACTGTGTCCCACAGGGTTCTGAGTATCTCCAGGATAAAGATCCTACAGCCTCCCCAGGCAATCTGCTCCAGGGTTTGAATACCTTCACAGTAGAAAATGTTTTGGGTTTTTTTAATAAATGGAACCTCTTGTATTTCAATTTGTGCCCTTTGCCTTTTGTCCTTTAAGTGTCACTGAGAAAAGGCTGGCTTCACCCCATACTCCTCCCCATCAAGTATATATACACATAAGCACTATCAGGTACTTATACACATCCCCCCGAGCCTTCTCCTCTCCAGGCCAAAAAAAAAATCCCAGCTCTCTCAGCCTCTCCTCATACACTGGATGGTCTAGTTTCTTAGTGACCTTCATGTCCCTTTGCTAGACTTGCTCCAGTAAGTTCACATTGTTTTTTTAACTGGTAACCCAGAACTGGGCACAACACTCTGGATTTGGTGACCACCTCCCCTGACCTGCTGACAAAACCCCTCTTCTTCATGCGACATCCCAGTGGCATCCTTTGCTGGCTCACATTCAACTCTGTGTCCCTCAGGAGACCCAGGTCCTCCTCTGCATAACTTTCTAGACAGTTAGCTCCCAGTGTAGATGAGTGCCTGCAGTTATTCCTTCCCAGCTGCAGGACTCCGCATTCCCTTTTGTAGAACTTGATGAGGTTACCATTTCTCACCATTTCTCCAGCCTGCCCAGGTTCCTCTGAATACCACCAAAAACATATGGTGTGTCAGCCACTCCTCTCCCAGTTTCTGCATCACCTGCAAATCTGGTGAGGCTGCAATCCGTCCTGTTATCCATGTTTTAAACCCAGTCCCAGTTTCCTCCTCTGGTACACGCTATTAGTTACTGGCCTCCAGCTGGACTTTGCATTGCTGATCACAACCCTCTGAGCCCAGTTCAGCCACTTTCCGATCCATTGCCCACATATCTAATCTATACTTCACCAGTCTGTCAATGAGGAGGTTGAGAGACAGCACTGAAAGCCTTGCTGATGATAAACAATAGTCATTGCTCTCTGCTCATCCACAGAGCTAGCCTTCTATGAGGAGCTGGCTATCAGGTGTTTAAGTGTGATTTCCTTTTCATAAAACTATGACGACTGTTATCCATCACCTTCACATCTTCAGACATGGCTTCCAGGAGGATTTGCTCCACCACGCTCCTGCAGATCAAGCTGAGGCTGACTGGCCTATAGCCTCCTCCTTGCCCTTCTTGAAGACAAGAGCAACATTTGCATTCTTTGAGATTCAAAAGGGAGCGGGTCATTTAAGGCAAGTAGGACAAGCCCTGCTGACCCATTATTTACCTCACACCTCATGCTGCAAGATCACAGTCTGCCTGAAAGACCTCCACTCTTCATCAGAATGCTCACCCACATTTCCAGGGAACTACAGGAGCTGCTGACTGACAGGACACAAACAATACACAGAATACATGTTCTTTAACATATAAGCAGAACCAAAGCCTTGAAGAAAAACTGGAAGTCTCACAGCTTGGGGTTGGTCCTTGATGCATGGAACAGCAAGGTGCTAAGCACCTTATGAACAACTCTGAATATTTAAAGGAGTCCATCTTCCAAGCAGGCATTTTTGTTTCTTTCTTAAAAAAAACAAGCTACCACACTTCAAATGGATTACAACAAAATAACTTCCTTTTGCATGCAAGTCACTTACATCGCTTGTGGATATAGCCTTGCTTAAACATTGCATCCAGAAACACAAAGTCACTGTAGGGAGAGCGCTCCATCACCACACCTTGGCCTGCAATTGAAAGCAAGTTCCAGTCAGCAAGGCTCAAAGAGACTGTTGGCAACAAAATTTAAAGAAAACACTACTCTTATGGTCAATTTCCTGAATGCTTTTCTAAGAAATTTTAAATAAAAGAGCAAGGTTTTGGCTCACACAATGTACAGGACATATATGCTGAACATGCCTGTCTCACCCATATATTCTCCTACTGTGCCTGTCACTACAGTAGCTAAGTACTATTATATTTAAGGAGTACATTTATATATGTCTCTGAAACTTTCTGGCACCCACATCTTTTCATCTTTTTTGGAAAACACTTACTAAAGCACAAGCAACAGGTAAATCAGTGCTGGTATAGGAAATCTCTTCTCACCAGAAGACACTAAAATTATAACAATACCACCACAAAACAGTATTTAATGAAATCAGAAAGACTGAACAATAGACACCACCAGGAACTAAGCCTAGGGAGAGTTTTAATAAGGCTGTACTACTCACAGCTATCTAGGAAGGTTTAAAATGTCCTCTTGAAAACAGGATGATCTTATTTTCAAACCAGCCTCACCAGGGATTGCCAAATTAAAACTAATGAAATTGGTAACTGGTACATACTTCCTTTGTTAGAAATTATATAAGATACTGTTCTAACAGAAAATGTGGAAGGTAGTTTTCTAAATGGGCTGTTAACCTGTACTCACTAAGGGGGAAAAAAAAGATATAAAATGCTTAACAATGTAAAAGCTTTTCATTTTAAAATGCAGATACTAGCAGAGGACTTCAAGCCAGCTTACTCACAACTTATATCCAGAATTTCATTTAGAAATTAAATTCATTTACTGTGAAAGCTAACCTGTGGTCAGCAGATGCTCCAACGCATCAGCATACTGTAAAACACGATTACCAAACAGCCAAGCTTGCAGTCGATACGAGTGTCCATCAGGGCATTTCGGATCATTGTAAAACCTCTCTAGGTTACAGAAACCATTAAATTTCTCAGGCAGCAGCGTTCCATCTCCTGAGATCCTGTCTATGTAATGGATGTCTGCTTCTGGGAAATATTTCATTCCTGACAAAAAAGAAACCCACAACAGAGCACGAATCAAAAGAATGTTTTGTTCATTTACTGTAAGCAACTATTCAGTTCCTTTAAATATACAGCTGTACTTTAAACAGCTCTTGAAAACATCACAAAATCCTTTGGTCAATCACATCACAGAGGGCAGAAGAACCCTACTCTGAACTACTGCCACCTTTCACTCCCTCAGTGAGGGCCGAGCTACAGTTCTAAGCAGAATCTTTTTGCCACCAATCCCCACAGTGACCTTGATGCTCTGCGTACACCCATGCAGAAAATCCTAACTCTCAGGCTGCTCAGTGACTCTGCCAGAGCTAGAAGCTCAGTGAGCAAATCGACTTCATTAGAATTGAAATTTCATTCACAAAAAAAACATACCTACATCAGTATCCCATAGATCTGACAAACGGCCCATTTTCATCTCAAGCTTCACCAACATTTTATTCTCCCGTTATCTATAAGCCCTCTGCATTAACTGTAACATTGCCTAACTAACAATTTCCTAGTGAAGAACTGCTGGTTTGGTGAACTAACTTTTTTTACACAAGAATCACAATTACACTGCTAAATTCTATTATCTATTGGATAAATAGGTAAAATAAGAGGTACCTAGTTTTTCTGCTATCTGTTGTGCAAGCTTGCCCTTCCCAGAAGACAAGTTGCCCTCCACTGTAAAGATTTTGCTGTATTCATTGAGTTTTTTTGTAGTTCTCTCTCCCAACATATAAGCCAGCCAACCATACTGCAAATTCTGCTCAGGGCTGACATGAATTCTTGCCTGAAAGAAAGCACAACAAAATTAGCATATTTCAGTTGTCTTAGCTGAACTAGGCACGCTCAAAGCGCAGCTTTTTCACACCATCTGCACATGCATTAAGGTACACACTTGCCCATCTAATACAAAGAATTTTCACCCAGTAAAGTTAGCACTGCTATTTCAGCTCAGCAGCTGAAGCGGTATTTAGGCTGAGTACCTGTTTATGAAATGCAAGGCTTGGGCAGACAGAAACCATGAAACAGTTTTCAGTGCCTTTAAAGCTTGAAGCAGAACTGCTCCAAGTCTACACAATGACTGAAACCTCCCAGACTTCCTGAAGGCCGCAGACACACGATGTGCCCTGCACTCCCAAGGGAGACCCCAGAGTAGGCTTTTCCTCGCATTTTTCTCCGTTTGCTGTTGGGTGGATACTAACGTTAAACGCTCTCCCAGCCTCTCAGGAGAGTTAGTTTCATTTCTGCGCAGAACAGCTCCTGGACAGCGGTGAAAAGAAACACCCGCCTGGCCTGTGAACCTGAAGGCTCCACCTTACTGAGCCCCGCCCAGCAAAGACACCCTGGTAAAAACCGAATCAGCTTATTTTGAGCAATGCGGTGACCTCGCTTACACACACGAGATTTTATTCTTTAAGATTCTCCTGCTTGCACAGCCAAAGATCCCGCTCACAAGCTGAAGGTCGTCACCCCCCCGCTCTGGCCTCCGGAATTTATCTGTGCGTCTACCGTCAATCCCCACTTCCCTCACAAGCGTCCCGGCCGCCCCCCCCGCTCCCAACCCTCACCCTGCCCCGCCGGGCACCCCAAGGTGAGCCCACCCAGTCGCGCTGAGGGGCGGCCGCCGCAGAGCGGGGGCAGCGCGGCCGGGCGCAGGGACCGACCGACCGACCGACCGACCGACCGACCGACCTCCCCCCGGCCCCGGCCCCGGCCCCGGCCCCGGCCCCGCTCACCGCCGGCGGGACGGCGCTCCCCAGGCGGCCCCGGGCGGTGGCGGCCGCGGCCCGGCCCAGCTTGCCCAGGCGCAAGGACATGGCGGCGGCGAGGAGACAGGGCGGGCGCGGGGAGATGACGTCACGGTAGAGGCGGAACGAGCCCGCGACGGGTAGCGGGGGGGCGGGTCGTTCAGCCCTCGGACACGCCCCCTAGTCAGCGGCCACGCCCCCGGGTCGCCCATGGGGTTCGGCAGGCAGAAGGCCGGCAGGCAGGCAGACGGACAGACGGACGGGCGGGCGGGCGGGCAGGCAGGCAGGCAGGCAGGCAGGCAGGCAGGCAGGCAGGCAGGCAGGCAGGCAAGCAAGCAAGCAAGCAAGCAAGCAAGCAGCACGCAGGCAGGCAGGCAGGCAGGCAGGCGGACGGACGGACAGGCAGGCAGGCAGGCAGGCGGATGGATGGACGGACGGACGGACAGGCAGGCAGGCAGGCAGGTGGACGGACAGGCAGGCAGGCAGACGGACAGGCAGGCAGGCAGGCAAGCAAGCAAGCAGCACGCAGGTAGGCAGGCGGACGGACGGACGGACAGACGGACAGACAGGCAGGCAGGCAGACGGACAGGCAGGCAGGCAAGCAAGCAGCACGCAGGCAGGTAGGCAGGCAGACGGATGGACGGACAGGCAGGCAGGCAGACGGACAGGCAGGCAGGCAAGCAAGCAGCACGCAGGCAGGTAGGCAGGCAGACGGACGGACGGACGGACAGGCAGGCAGGCAGACGGACAGGCAGGCAGGCAAGCAAGCAAGCAAGCAGCACGCAGGCAGGCAGGTAGGTAAGCAAGCAAGCAGGCAGGCAAGCAAGCAAGCAAGCATCAGGTAGGTAGGCAGGCAAGCAAGCAGCAGGCAGGTAGGTAGGCAAGGAAGCAAGCAAGCAAGCAGCAGGCAGGTAGGTAGGCAGGCAAACAAGCAGCAGGCAGGCAGGCAGCAGACAAGCAGGCGAATGTGCAGGCAGGAGGTCAGTGGGCAAGCGGAGAAGTGGGCAGGCAGCAGGCAGGCAGGAGGACAGGCAGCAGGCAGGAGAGTGAGCAGGTAGGCAGGCAGGCAGCAGGCGGGCAGGAGCGCCTTGCCACACAGACAAGCATGCCGTTGGGTGGAAGCTCCAGGGGCAGGAGGGAGCCTTGCTCTTTCTCCATGCCAAGTTTGCCCTGGGGAAGTCCTGGTATGGGCAGAGCTGGCAGGGGGCAGGCAGCACCAGGAGCAAGGAGACACCAGCCTCTCCCAGGCGCTGTGCCCAGCAAACCATGGCTTCCTCGCACGCAGAAAGTCACTTCCCTGGCAAATGTTGTTCCCTCAGCAAGTCCCAAGGTGCTGGGAGGAGAGCTGGTGGTGGGACAGTGACACCAGTGCCACTGGTGGTGGCTCCTTGGGTGTTGATCCCTCAGCCAAAACGGTCAAGAGGTCTCATGCCAAAGCCCCTCACGCTCCCCCTGCCCACTGGGTCTGTGAGTCAGGAGGAGTGGGATGTCCAGGGCTTGAGCTTTGGGGCAGCAAGCCACGTCCCACTGCAGATTAACTGCTTATCCCTGGTTCTGCTGCTGCGATAGGATGTGACCCGGCACCAGCCATGTTGTGTCCGTCATGTCACCCTCCGCCAGCCACCATGCAACCAGATGTGAAGGGCACAACCCGTGTGCTCCCCGCTCCCCCCTCTTCCAGACTGGTGGGTACTGGGCATGGCAGGCTCTTGCAATGAAAGGCGCCTGTGTCTGTCTATCCACACCATTCACGACTGGCAAAGGCCAAGAGGTGGAAATCAAAATCTACCACCTCTTTAAGCTGTATGGGAGCCTGTGATCTGGGCCAGCTTCCAGTTCCGCATCTAAAACACTTCCTGCCATATGCTTTGGGCCTTTGATCTGGGTTCTTTGCTAGCTGGGGACAGCGTGACACCTTCCTTTACTGCCACCCCTGAGTGATGCCATCCTTATCTGCACCCTTCCATGTCTCGCCGTTCTCCTGGGAGAAGAGGACAGTGAAGATTCACCGAGCCCCCCATATGCATTTGTTAGTCTTCGTGGTGCCACCAGCTGTTCCCAGCCTGGGCTTGCTTTGCCACCATGGAGAGAAGATCCCTGTTGCTCTCTGCAGAGAAAAGGGCATCTGCCTGGTGTTTCTCACCGATGCCCTCTGCCTGCAGCTGGGACTGGGGGTGCTGGAGGTGAGGGGATGCTTTAACCACAGGGCAGGAGAAGACACATCCTGGAAAGCACAGTGATGCCCTTACATCAGGCAGAGGCAGCAGTGGTGAACCTGGCTGCTGCTCTTGGAGGTTTTGCTGATCTTTGCCACAAGATGGGGCTGGGTAATGCTGAAGGAAAGCTGCTTTCTCCCTGCTCACTACCGTGGCTTGTCCCATGGAACTGTGTTATGAGTACCAACAAGTCCCCATCTCACCCAGGGCTCGCTGGAGACTCTGAGAAAGGCTGACAGCGTTGCTGACATCTGGGGATATCACATTCAGAGCATCTTCTCTGTAGAAGCTGCTTCTGTCTCCGTACCGCTGCAATGCACAGCTGCTGGAAACCATGTGTGCAGTTTTACTTCCCCTTCTTTTTCGGTTTTGTGTTCCATGTTTGCCAACAGGAACACTGCAGAAACCACTCTGCTTCAGGAAGCTTTTGGAGCAAATTTGCTTTGCATCTGAAAAGATCCATCTGCTTGGCCAGTCTGACCTCCCATGTTGGTCAAGGAGCAGAAAACTGCAGAGAAACCTCTGAATGAACCAGAGACTCTGGCTTTCTAATGCTCAGCTCTTGACCGAGCTTTGAGGTCTTGGAAATGCCTTGTTGAAACAAATGAGGGGAAGACGAAGCATCAAAGAGATGTTAGAGTGGGAAGGGAAGGCTGTACCCCATACCAAGTGTCTCCCTTGTACCTAAGACCCTGATCCGTGGGCTGGGTTTTCTTTCACTTGCTGGAAAAGAAACTCCTCTAGAAAAGGGAGTAAGTGGAGTCTTAGTGCTGCCTCGTGCTGGCTTGCAAAGCACGTCCACTGCCACTCCAGACCAGCTTGGAGAGCTGAGTGGGCAGAAAACTATTGCTGTCACCTGCAGGGTTAGTCTCTGCAATGCTCTGCTGATGTGGCAGGGCTCGATGCTGCTCCTAACCTGTGACCGGTCTCTGCCCAACCTATTCCCCCATAATCAGATTTCTTTGTCTATTTTTCTCCTGCTTTCAACCGCCACATAATTCCCAGCCTGCTGTCTCCTCAGGGACTGACATCACTTGTGGGTGAGCAGGACAGCTCCTCTGGATCTTGCACCCCTTTGCTCCCCAAAACTCTGCCTGCCTGTGACCCCGGGCTCCATAACTACCCTCCAGCCCTGGGGATTCTGAGTGTTGACTCCCACCCGCCTCCTCCCCAAGCAGCCTCAGGGACATCTTAGTGACTTCCCCATGCCGTGTCCCTGCCCCGGCTCGGTGTCACCCTGAGGTAGCTCCGTGGTGACGTGTGGCACCCACAGCACTTCATAAGGGACACCTTCCTGCGTGAGGGCTGGTGGTGGACCATCTGCCAGGGCTCTGCGGGCACCAGCGGGTCTTAGTAGCCTGGGCCAACCTCATGCTCTGCTCACGGCTCTGTGGGCTCCATTTCATGTCAGCCTCAAGCACATAGGCTTGGGCTTAGGCTGTATCCTTACTTGTGTCTATCTCTGCCCTTCTCTAACCTCCCTGCACATAGGTGGACCTTGGACCTGCACTGCAGGAAGCCTTGTCCCCAGTCCTGTCTCCCAGATGGACCTTGGACCTATGCTGCAGCCTCACTTCTTGATCAGCCTCCATTTCCCGCTGCTTCTGGGCTCCCCCACGTTCTCCTTAGCTTACCTTGCCTGGGGCTGTCACCAGAGGCTGCCCATGCTGCCACCAGTTCACTTGGGTGTTTCATCAGGGAGGGCACCCGTGGCCCCCCAGGGCAGCCCCACTCTCCTTGCTCCTTGGCAGGGAGTTGGGATGGAAGGGACTGTTGTCACTCTGCTGAGCGACGGGTCCTCAATTACACACTGGACCTATTTCAATACTAGAGATGAGGTATTTTTTTCTTTTTCAGCTCAGGCACCTCCTTGGCTTCTGAACTGGACAAGAGCCTTTCCTTTCTGTCATCTCTTGCTGTCCTTGAACTCAGGCAATCACAGTCAGACTTACCTCTAAGGATACTCTGGCACTGGATGGCCAAAAGTCAGTGCCCTGCTGAAAGCCAGTAACAGATTTTTGACCCTCCTAGCTATCATACAAGGGGCTGTGAGAAGTCCTCATGCTGGAGTTCATGAATATCATCAAAGACAAAGCCGCTCTACCAGTTTTTGCTGGGTGAAGGTTTGCCCCTACGTTGCCCTGACTGGGTTTAGGCACTTTTCTCACAGGAGAGGCAGATGCAGGCAAACTGGTATAAACCCACAGACTCTCATTTCTGCCTTTTGCTTTGATAGAGCTGCCCAGCCAAGTTCCACAGTTGGTGAAATCTGGATCCAGGGATGTCCACAGCAAGCTTCCCCACGGCTGCAGAGCAGGCAGCTGGTCTCCAGAACTGCCCTGTCCAAGTGGGCCAGTTTTGCAGCATGGAGATTGTTTTATTCTGCCTGGGCTGATGTCTCTCTCAGTATCTGTACTCTCATTTGTCCAAGTTCCCTCTCCACCATGCTTTGAGCACTTGCCCAACATCTCAAAGCTTCCCTGCCTGCAGGTGAGCCCACATGAACAGCAGGGACAGCCCCAGCGACATCCTGAGTTGTTCACCCACAGGATCGTGTGCTTCAGATAACCTCCCTGCTGACCCACTTTGATGCCTCGTGCCTTTCCTGCTGCAGCTGGGAGGTTGGACTGGAGACCCACGAAAGTCCCTTCCCACCAAGACCCCCTGAGCCTGTGTACAGAGGGTGATGAGCAATCCGAGGGAGAAAACAGGTATAGCTGTATGGGTTGCCTCTTGTTCAGTACAGGTCCAGGCACCTAATTTTGGGGCTCTAGGTCTTGCTCCATCTCTGACAAAAGATGGCCAAAAGAGGTAAATATGGTGTTTTTTTTCCCATAGGAAACCTGGCTGTAGATGTAGGAAAGCAATGTAGAGCTGCTTTGGAAAGGTACCAGGGTTTATAGGAGCTGGGTACGAGAAGTCCAGGGGGGCGAAAAGGGGCTGGAGGGCTTTGGCTGAGCAAGAAACCATGTATGCGCTTCCCAAACCTGGGGGTGTCCCACGGGGTCTGGAAACTGCCCTCCCCCAGCCACTGAGACACCTGGGAGCTGGGAACCTTCCTCTCACAGCTCCCCTCCTCCGCTTGATGGAGACACTGGAGTGCAATTTCCAGGGCTGAGCTGGATCTTTGCCTGCCTTATTAAAAAGCATGGCTAAATTACTGGTTCTCTATGTATGGTCTAGGAAGGTCATAAACAAATGTATTAACACACTTCCCATCAAACTGACATCAGCTCTGCTGACATGGGACATTTTTGATACCATTAGCTGCTTCTGCTTTGCCCCTTGGCAAGAAGTGATCAAGTTTCATTTCAAGAATTTATCCCTGGAATTTGCAAACAGCTTAAAAAAAAACAACCAACCAACCAACCAACCAACCAACCAAAAAAAAAAAAAAAAAAAAACCACAACTCACATACAATGTGTCTGGGTCTAGCTTTCTATCCTTAACAGCTGTGTCTTCAAGATGCTGACACATCAGGTAAATCTTCCCAGTGAGAGAGCAGGAAAAACTCAGCAGTGGAGGCTGTGGGGCTGGCAGGATGCTGAAGGGGTGACCAGAGCAGGGGACAGGCTGACTCTTGAGGACCATTGCTTGGTGCTCCTCTGCACCCACGTGGGAATAAAAGACCTGTTCCTTCAGCACGCAGAGGTGTTTGACACTGACATCCTCAATAGGGTGTGAATAGTGAGGAGGCTGTGTTTGGTGAGGGTTACTCATCCTAGGGAGAATGCCAAAGGGGTCTTCCAGAATGGATCAATAAAATAGCAGGTCCTGTTCAGTGTAGGTAACTGTAAAAGTGATGCAGGTGGGAATATTCTCTCCCACCCAGGCACATAACACATGGGGCTCTGAGCCGAGCTTTTACTGCTCAGGAACGGTGTCTTGTCTCTGAAAAATGTCTGCCCAGCAAGGATCAAAAAAGGAAAGCAGTGAGGAAAGGTGGAGAGAAGAAAGTAAAGGACATCATCTCGCACTGGTCCAAACCCACAGTTTTCTCATCATCCTTCTCATCTCAGAAAGGACGTGGTGGAAGAGAAAGGCAAACAAGGACAAAGATCCTAATGACCACTTGAGTGGTGGAAGCCAGGTTATGAAACCAGATCAGTGAAGGTGGGGTTTTGTGCAGTGATGGTTGGGCTATGCAACTAGTTACCAAGCCCTGCTAAATGTTCACTCAGATTCCAGGGGAGCCTGGAAGAGCATTACTAGGTAGAAGCCATGTCTGGCTGAGGAAACCCCCTGGGCTGAAAACAGTTGGAGGCCAGGAAAGTCCTCAGGGGAAATATCACATTTGCTTGTCCCGTTCTTAGTCTTCCTGTGGCCACTGCTGAATACAGGACAGACTCTGCTCCCACCACACCTCTGCTCTGCCATGGCACAGAGCTACCTATCCTGCCAAAGCAGCCATGAAAGCACGTGGTGGTCCACCATGCTTTCCTCCCACTGGGATGTGAACAGGCTTGATTTTTAAAGCAGACAGTTTGTGGCAAAACCAAAACCATGGCTAGATGTGATGCCTCTGTGGCTTTTTTAACATGGTTGCCTGCCTCTGTCACCCCTCTTTTCACAACAGCAACTGAAGGTGGCTCTTGGGTGGAAGAGCAAAATCTTTGGGCAACATTAGCTGAAGGGAATGCAAAATGAGGGGCAACAGGCTGGCTGTTCCTAAAGGGTCATCAGCGAGGAGATCCAGCTCTGGGAGGTGGGGAGGCTTATCTTGCAAAGCCCTGGCATGCAAGGGTACCTGCAGGATGAGGAAAAAGGGAATGTTTATTCCATGGCACGGGACAATTAATGATTTCATTGCTTCTTTCTGCTCAGTTTTTTATTTTTCACTGGTGACTGCGTGACAGAATATCTTGATGTTGAAGCAGAGCAGTAATTCAGGTGCCTCCAGTTCTGCATTGTCTCTCTGGCTGTGGCTGTCTGGCAGGACCGCATCTCCTGGGCTACACAGGAGGGACAACACAGCCACCAAGCGTGATGCATGGAGACTCGTGATACAAGCCTGCAGGTGAACGTGGTCCTGCAGGCATTGCAGCAGGAGAGAAGCACGGGAACTGCTCTGAAATGGTCACCTTCTGCAGAAAAAGGAGGTGGCCCGTAGGCATGGTGGCTCTCAGGATTTGGTGGCCCCATGGGCATGGTGGCTAACAGTCAGAGTGGCCCATAGGCACAGTGAGCTGTCAGCGTGGCGACTTTTGGGGCACGGTGACACCCCAGAGACGGTGACCCTCTGGACACAGAGACTTCGGGGCTGTATTGGGATTGCGTGGCCAGGTTTTGGTAGCGGGGGGGGGGGGGAAGGGCTACAGGGGTGGCTTCTGTGAGAAGGTGCTGGAAGCTTCCCCCATATCCAACAGAGCCAATATCAGCTGGCTCCAAGATGTACCCACCGCTGGCCAAGGCTGAGCCCATCGGTGACAGTGGAAGCGCCTCTGGGATAACGAATTTAAGAAGGAGGAAAAAAAAACCTGCGGTGAAAGAAAGGAGTGAGAATATGTAAAACAACTCTGCAGATGCCACGGTTGGTGTTCCAGGTGCTGGAGCAGAGATGCCCCCACAGCCCGTGGTGAGAGGACAGGCAACCTGTGGAACTCCACGGTGGAGCAGATGCCCTCCTGCAGCCCGGGGAGGACCCCACGCCGGAGCAGGGGGATGCCCAAAGGAGGCTGTGACCCCGTGAGAAGCCCACGCTGGAGCAGGCTCCCGGCAGGACCTGCGGCTCCGTGGAGAGAGGAGCCCACGCCGGAGCCGGTTTGCTGGCAGGACTGGTGACCCCGTGGGACGGACCCACGCTGGAGCCGCTCCGAGGTCCTCGGTGGTGGGGGCGGTGCGGGGGGCCGGGGCGGGGAAGGGGCCGGGGCCTCCCCCCCCCCCCCCCCGGCCATCGTCCTTAAATCCCGCCTCCAGGCACGGTCCCACGGTCCCCCCACGCCCCCCCCGTCGGTGCTCGGCGCTGCAGGCGGGATGTACGCCGGGAGGAAGAGGAAGAAGCCGGTGCCGAAGAGGTGGGTGCGGGTGCTCCGAGAAGGGTGTTTCCACCAGAACCCCCCGGGGGAAGCAGGTTGGCAGCGGCTGGGCGAGGAGGGGGAGCCGGGGCAGGTGTGTGGGGCTGGGCAGGGTGTCAGGAAACCAGTCTGCGAGAGCTAAAGGGGTTCGGGGGGGGTTGCGTTAAACTGCTCTGATGTGAGCATTGGAGCAGCGAAAGAGACAGGGAGACAGCGTGCTTGGGCTTCTCTGTTTTAATTAGGGTTAATTGGAACTAATGCTTTGTAGGCTCTGGCGTGCTGGAGGAAAATAGAAATCCCGGGGATGACTGCCCTGTATCCCCAGGGCTCCTGTGAGGAGGCTCGTTGGAGGGTTTGGGATGCTCAGCTGTCCTCCGAGTTGCAAGCTGGCTTATGTTTCAGTGTCTGCATCAATCAAGTGTACAGCAATTACTATTTACCTAAAAGATCCCTATTTCTTAATAATTATTTAGCATGCTGCTCGATAGCTGTTGCATGATGCCCCCCTGATGTGTTGCTGGAGTTTCTGGCTCTGGGACCCCCATGCCTCCCCCCATACCAGCTCTGAAGTCATATCAGCCTATTTACCTCAGGTTACTGGGTGTGTAGGAAATAAAAGCATGTATGTATTTCCAGAAGGCAGTGGGGGGAATCAGATGAGCTGAACCCAAGTCTGAGATGAATGAAGGAGCACCAATGTCATAACTCTAGGGTGAGAAGGAGAGCCAGGAGCCTCTCATGGGTGTTCATGAGAGAGCCTTAAAGAAGTGTGAAAATGTGAAGGGTAGTTGCTCTGCCTCAAACCTTTCTCCTGCTCACCTCAGAGTGGTGAATCCAGCCCCGTGGTGGGGCTGATGTGACCAGACTGAGAATTTGGGCTGGATTTGTGTGGCTCGGGGTGCGGGAGAAGGTGTCCCTTCGAAGCAGAAAGGACCTCAGTTCCTGGTGCTGCCAGGCCAACCTTGGGAATCGGAAGAGATTATTTTCCTCTGTGACTGGGCAAGATCTCGCAGCAGGATCCTGCTGGGAGAGGTCAGGCAGAGCAGGGCCGGGGGCAGCGGGATGTGCAGCCAGCCGGAGGGGAGGGAAGGTTGGGGTTAGGGAGTTCTCTGGTCCCTTTGCAGTTTGCTCAGGGCTTTTTACTTATTAAAAAAATTAGTAAAAATTAGGAGACAATAGATCAGCTCAGGCAACCTCAGCTGTTGTTAGCAGTTAGTATCACTTGGTACTTGCCAGCTTGCAAAAGTGATAAACTTCCTGCTGGGTTCCCTGTTCAAAGGGCAGCTGGGGAAAAACAACACTGCAGCGGCAGCACAGCCTTTGCCCCGCTGGGAGCAAAGCTTTCCCTGCAGCTCTGCTCCAGCCCATCTACACAGGGGTTAGCAGCTTTTCTCAGCAACTTCATCGTGAACTTTGTGGCACGACCACGCTGAGCTTTGCACCGTATCCATTTCATAAGACTGTGCCGCGTTAGGGGTCCTGCAAACAGAATGGGGGCTCAGACCTCTTTAAAAATGCCTTTTTCCTTGCTTGTTGAGTGGATGTCGAGCTGCTTTGTTGAACCCAGGGGTTGTGCTTGGGTAGCAGCGCTCCCTGGGACAGCCTTGCGCAGTGAGAAATGTCATACCCTGCAGTGTTCAGCTGTGCAGATTCTGTGGTGGCTAATAAGGTGGCTGTGCTCAAGCCAATGCCTTCCCCTTGGTTAAGCACGTGTGTTGGGGGCTGGCGGTTTTCCTGGCCCTGCCTGCCAGCTTGCATGGAGCTCCTGGGAATTTCATAGCTGCCTGGCAGAGGGCGAACAAATTTGTCAGCAGTGAGCACCTGGAAGCTGTTTCCCTGTGGCATCCTCAAGGACGGGGAAGTGTGAAGCCTCTGGCCCTGGGAGTTCCTGGGTGCAGCGTTTTCCCACGGAAACGGGCTGCCAAAAGAGCTGCCAGGCATCACCAGAGCCGCCTTCCTCTTCGTCACCCTTCCTCTCAAGAGCGGCCATGAAGCACCCTGCCTGCCTCAGATGGGGACATGCAGGAACAGAGATGTTGGGGTGTCCTCCTTTAGCCTTCTGGTGCTTCGCTGCTGGCTGTGGCACCCCATGTGTCCCAGCCAGTGCTTGGCCAAACGATCCAAGAGACCCTGTTACATGTCTGCATTTTGCCCCCTCCCATAGAGAGCAGCATTCCTTGCTCATCTCCAGGCTCATTTTCTCTTCATTATATCTGTTTGTGGCCTGTATTGGGACAGTGAGCAGGCAGAGGACTTCTCTTTAAAGGATATCTGAGGAAATTCAGGATAATTTTCTTTACCTCTCTCTTACTTTTTTTTTTTTCTTTTAAAATCAGAGTCAAAGGAGAACTATTTCATTTTTTCCTTCCTGAGGAGTGACTGTGATTTCAAAAGTGTTTAAGCCGCTGGCTAATGGGGTACATAAAAGCACTGGTGCCAGTGTGTTTTGCTCAGCTTGTAAGAATGAGTTTGGTGATGAGTTGTACCCACTCTCTGAGAAACAGGGTATATCCCTCCTGATGTTTGTTACAAAACAGCATGATTGAGCTTTTCTGGAAAAATGCTACAATTTTCCATTCATGCTTAGAAGACCCCTTAATAGCTCTCTGAAATGAAAATTCAAGAGACACCTCACTGCATTTCATTTAATGCTTATTTCCTCTCTTGTCACACATGCAGGCAGCCCTGCCAGACAAGATTTGAGAGTGGTGGTAGAGGGGAGAGCTTAAATTGCTGCTAAATACTGGCAGATCCTGTTATCTGAAGCTACTTTATGAAGCAAGGATTCCTGCAGAGAGGGAGTTTGTGGTTAGACGAATTAAATCAAAATGATGAGTTGCATGTTAGGGGATGCAGTTGAACCAAATACAGAGGGAGGGGTCTGAAGGGTTTTTCTTTGAGCTAGAAAACTCAAATCAGCATTAAAAAACCAAAAGAGACAAGGTGACATCCGAGACTCATTAAAGTTATTAACTAACCTCTTATTGCTGTAGCTGGGACTTCACTTGTAGTGTGTGAAATAACTGCAGCTGATAGAGTTGGGTTCCCATGTCAGCCTAAGGCAGGTAAGAGCTGCTCTTGTGGACCCTCCTCCTTGGTCCCAGAGCCTAAGTTTTCCATCAGATGTTGGTTTTGGTTGGAAATGCTCACCTGGAAGGATCAGAAATCAGAATATTGGAAGGGATTTTTTTTTTTTTTTAATCTACATTTTTTTTTTTCTTTTAAAAAAGAGGCTGCTTTATGAGGGCTGTGCCCTAGACCACCCTGTGTAGTATCTCTTTGTCCAAATCCTGTTGTTAACTTTCACATGTGCTCCTCTTTGTAATAATCATCATTAAAGCAATTGGTTCAGGCTGTGAGCAGTCAGAAGAAACTTAAAAGAAGCTAATTGAAATAAATTCAAATAAAAAAAATATTTCTGGACCTTCCTGCTTTCCATCCTTGCTATTTGTTAGCATGCTCATTGCCAAGGCCTGGCCGAGAGCTGCTCAGTCCTGGGCAGGCAGAAAAGCCAATATGAACCTTCTGAGCAGCTCAAGGTAGTTCTTTTTGTAGTGAGAACCTCGTGTGAGCATGTGGAGCGTGGGAAGGGTATGGGATGAGGAAGAAGAGGAGAAAGGGCAGACAGAGCAGAGTGGGGGTGGAAAAGTCTAACCAGACCTCCAAGAGATGCTCTGATGGCTTGTAGGTCTCTGCCCTCAGTATCCTTTTCCCTGCCAGGTCTCAGTGGTGGGAGCAAGGCTTGTAGTATTCAGCTGGGCTGCACGTTAAGGTGCCCATCTGAGGATCACCCCGCACTCCAGCTGGAGAACATCATGCCTGGAGCTGCACAAGGTGGCCAGTGGGAATGGCCGTGTCTCCTTCAGCCTCGTGGGCTTGCTGGAGCTTCTCTTGCTGCTGCATGGCCTTACCTTGGCCACCTGATGTTTTAATGTTGTTGTGGCTGCGCTAAAGTCACCACTGGCTTTGGAAAGAGCCTGTTGGACAGGTCCAGTCTGGTTAAACTCTTTTGCCTCTCCAGCCCTAAACCACCACCCCCTGAGGGCGTGAAGTCCAACCCCTCCAAGCGGCATCGAGACCGGCTCAACCAGGAGCTGAACAAGCTGACTGGCTTGCTGCCCTTCCCTGAAGATGTGCGTAGCAGGCTTGATAAACTCTCCATCCTACGACTGGCTGTCGGATACTTGAAGGTGAAGAGCTACTTGACTGGTGAGTGCCCATGTTGTGAGGGGTGAAAAAGCCCCTGGGGTCAATCCCTGCTGCCCAGTTCACGTTCCACCCCAAGCCGTGTTTGCTTTGGGATGGAAAGTTGTGTCCTCTGGAAGCAGGATGATGAGCTGTGGTATCAGACCCCTTGTATGTTAATGCATCAGTGTTGTACCTTTAGCTGAGGTACTGATCTGAAAGTGCCCTGGAAAACTGGGGAGGAAAGTGCCACATCTCCAGAAATGTGGAGGAGTTGACAATGGTTGCTCAGAGGTGCTAAGCTCATGGGACATCTACCCCGCAGGCCTTCTCTTGCTGCCATGGCACAGATTTTATCCACATCCCCTCTGTAAGGAATCACCTTCATTTTTGGATGCCACACACCCAAATCTATGCCTCTTCAGTCAGTTATGGGTGCTTGGTGTCTCAAAAAAGCAATGTTCTTGGAAAAGTGAGACCACCTAGTTTGGTCTTGGAAACTGAGTCAGAGGGGTGGAAAGCAGGCAGGCAAGCGATTCAGTTATTGGGGGTATTGGGAGCTCTGACCTCATCACTTTTGGAGTGGGTGTCTGGCAGAGAAATGGCATCGTGGGTGGAAGGGAGCAGCTTGGGTGCTTGCCCTGCAGCTGAGATCTCCTGCAAAGTTTCTCCATCTACTTCTCATTAGCAGACATACAACCCCTCCTTTATGTCCAAAACCCCTCCTGTGTCCTACTCCCACCAGGCTGTAGAGAAGGGGGCAACAGGTAAAACAATGTGTCTTGCTGAACAGCAACATTTCCCTCCTCTAACTGGAACTACCCTTTATAAAAAAATTAAGTGGAAAATCCCTAGGGCTGCTGTCTCTGCTGGGCAGGTGGGGGTAGGAGGTGTTGCACAGGGATGCTCTGCTCCTTGAGGTTGGCAGGTTAAACAAGTCTACTCCTAAGGACCTTGTTTGGTTTGGCACCTTGTTGGCTCATTTGTCTCCCCTTTCTTCCTTTGATGGAGGAGTCTCATATGATGGTGCTTGCCACCTTCTCCCTGCCAGGCTCAGCTGTGGTGGGTCTATTCTACTCCTCTGATGAGCATTTCTATGAGATCGAGGGTGATGCCTCATACCCAGAGACCCCAGTTCATTTTTGTGGGATGGAGGGTTGAGTTGATATGCCTGGAAAACCAATCTCCTTGTGCTTGCCTCTCTGCCTTACTCCTGAAGCTGTAGCTCACACGTGGGGCTGCAGTGGGGAGATCTCTCCAGCAGAGCTAGTTTCTCAGGTGGGAACCAGAGCAGCTCCTCCCTGCTCCTCTAGCTCCCATCCCTGGGGCGGTGTTGGAGCATCACAACAATGTGTTGCCTCAGCAAAGGACTGGAGGGTGGCTGGCAGACTACCCGGTGTGGCTCTGAGTGTGGTGGACCTTCATTCTTGCCCTGGAGATGCTGAGTGTTTGGCCCCAGGTGAGGGCCTGACCTCTCTTGAGGTGTTAGCTGTTCCCTGAGCACCTCCGGCACGTCTTCAGAGCCGTCGGCTGCTGAAGGCTGGGCTGGGCTGGTGCTGACTGAGTCAGAAAGGCTGTGACCCAGCAGGACCCCAAAAGTCACGATGGAGACGTGAAGAGGCACCTTGTTGCGGAGGGAAGAATGTCTTGTGCTGGCTGCCTTTGCACAAGAGGGGTGATTGCTGCACGCACAGCTTTGGATGCGCTTTGGGTGGTGTGGGGCTCCTCAAAGGCAAGGTTGGGCTGAGAGCAAGCCTCGCTGAGCATCTCTTCCTCCATTGTCGCTTTTGGGGGAAATAGGATTCTCTCCCTGCCCATCTGAGATGCAGGGTGGGTAGTTGGAAAGGAAGGCAGCCTAGTGCAGTGAGGGAAAGATGTGATATTTTGGGGATGCAACAGGTCTTTCTGTCCAAGGCGGTGCTGGCATAGCATTAACCTACATTGCTTTCTCTACTGATGTTCCAGAATAGGCGGGGACCAGCCCTCCTTACTGATACAGCTGGACTCTGTGGCACATGTCTGGGCTAAGAGGGAAAATGGGGGTGCAGAGCCTGGCTGGGGGGGTTAGTCACTGCACTCCCATGAGTCACCACCCTCCCCTGCCTGCAAGCAGGACACAAACTGCAGGCTGCAGTGCAAAGAAAGCTTGAAAGGCTGCCAGGGATTGCTTTCATAACCTGCTTACAAAAGCAGTTGCTTAAACACCGTGGAGCAGTGGTCGGGGGCTGGGGTGACTCCTGCAGCTGCGGGAGGCATGGACTGGTGTGTGTGCATGGCGTGGCATGAAGGGGGGTCAGGACATACGGACAGAGATGTGTTTCATCTCCAGTGGCTCAGGCTCAAAGGGACAGGTGATGGACCCCGATGAAGGCAGAGCACATGGAGGGCAGGAAGCCATCAACATCTTTCTATACTTAATGGTTCCTTATCACATCTTCTCCCTTCCAGACTGAATAAACTTGGCTCCCTTAGCTTTTGCCCCATGCCAGGTTTGTAACCTGTCCCTCGGGGGCTCTCCCAGGGCCCTCTCCAGCTGGGGATGCTGGTCCCCAGGAGGAGACTCCTGTGCCAAGCTCTCCAGCTGGGACGCCTGCCTCTGAGCAGGAGCGGTTCCCACTGGATGCGCTCACCATGTGCTTCCCAGCGTGAGAGCTGCTTCAGAAAAGCAATCACCATTGCAATGGACTCACATTTGGTGGCAGCCTCGTCCCCTCCTTGGAGATCCGTTCTGCCAGGCCAATCACTCCCATTTGGCCGCTGTGCCTTTGATTTACACGCCCCGCTCCTCGCATTGCCAGTGTCTGCCCTGAAGTTCATCTTGTTTGACTTCAGATCATCCCACCGATTCATCGTGGTCGACCTCAGCCTGAGCCCTGCCTGATGAAGTCCCATGTCATCTGCAAGTCACGGCAGCCTGCTCGTGGTGAATCACATCAGGTGTTTCAGGGCGGAGATGGTGAAAGCCCTTGTGCCCTGCTTTCTGGTTCGGTTTTGCTGTCGTCTGCTTTCTGCTACGTGCAGGCTCCTCTCCTGCAGCAGGAGAGCATGGCATCACCCCCTGAGCATCCCTGTCCTCTGCTGCATCGACCTCTCTCCATCAGCAGCCCAAGCTCATTGCCTTGTCTCCAGGCAGCTTTAATTGGTGCCGTATTGATAAAGAATTCCTCTTTTTAAGCGTTTCTATCGAGTCTGGATGCTTGCCCTTTCTCCTAGGCAAAAGGTTAATAGAGTCTATGTGGAGCCAAAGTATGTGGTTATAACCAGTCTGGCAGGGAGGCGGATGCTGGCAGGTGACCCTGGATGTGTGCCTGCCTGGGCTGTGTCACAAGTTAAAAGTAAAAATCCCATGTACTGCTAGAGGTGGTTTATGCAAGAAACGCAGCGTGTGCCAAGGAGCCTGTCTGAGGCTCTGCCTCCTCTTGGCTTCATGTCTTTGGAGCAGATATTCAGGTCTTCAGGGCAGGAGACAGACTGTTGTGAAAGGCAGGAGGAATTAGCTGCTGCCAACCATTTGGTGGCTTTTTGTTAGCTCTCCCTCACCACTTTAAGTCTCTGGTACAGCCTGATGCATGGTTGTGCTTCTGGGAGTAGAGGTGAACCAAACTGGGTTTGGCCTTTTGTTGCTGGTGGTGGGTTTCTTGGATTATTTTTTTTTTTATTTTAATTTCAGATGTTGGGGGTAAGACTGGTAATACACGAGATGGACAATGCTTCTTCTGAACAATCCTCTGGTCCTCCCTGGCCTGTCTGCATTAGCTGGTATTTTCTCCTGCTGCCCCTGATACAGCTTTTTCTGGTTTGGAGATTATCCCAGGAAGACCCTGTAGAGGTGACAGGTCTTCAGCTGGTTTTTCTTGGGGGTGGTGAAAGGATTCACCCACCTTCCTCTCCAGATGGAGAGGACTACACTGTCTTGAAGAGCTTGCAACATCTGCTTGAGGTATCAGGGAAACTTCACTGGCATTTGAGCTGGCCAGGATTTGTGCTCGTGTCAAGAAGCTTGTTTGGACTGTGCCAGGTTTGCACGCAGGCTGAGCTTGTCCAACTGCAGCCCTTGGTTGGAGCTGCTGCGTTAACCCCTTTTGGTCTCTTAAGCCAGTCAGACCTGCTGCCTGGCCACCTGAGGTAGGAGAACCAGCACACAGCCTTCCCTGGATAGCTTCAGAGACCTGTGTAGGTCCCGCATGGAGGTTTTGCTGATAATTTCCTGAGAGCTTCGGGTTTTCCTGGAGCCCTCCCCTCTGACACCAGCAGACAGGGCTGTAGTAACTGGCAGGCTCACAAAAATGCATGTGGCACCTGTGGTGCTGGCCCAGGTCAAGGTAAATCATCCACCACGCAGATGCCATGAACAAGCAGCAACTGGTGGAGAAGGATCTATTTTAGAAATGTTTTATAAGACCTCCTCAAAGCAGGGCAGAAATGGTATCAACATCTGTGGATGGGCTGAAAGCTCAGGATGTATGGTTGGTGTCTTCTGACACTCGCGCTACAGCCTTCCTGATCTTGTGCTATTTTGGGAGGTGACTACTCTCCGTGGAAAAAATGACCAATTCTTGGTGTTTCCACCATTTTGCATCTCAGAGCGAGCATGGCTCTCACTTTGAGGGAGCAAGCCCAGCTCTTATTTTGGATATTAGATTTAGAGCTGGGTTTGCACAGATTTTTGTAAGGCTGCTTTACCTGAAGGACACAGCAAACAGGATTCATGGTGGGTTTGTGTTAAAATCTCTGTGACCTAGAGGCAAGTTTTGAAACACCGTGTAACTGAATCTGTTGTCCTTCAGGAAACTATACTCTGGCCTGGCTGTGTTGTGGCCTTTAAATCTGTCCTTCTGCAAGCCTGGATTTATATCCAGTGTCCAAATTCTCCTTTCAGGAGGAAAAATGCAGAAAACTGGGAGAAAAGGAAATTGCAAGTGGGCTCAGACTGATGTTCTGAGGGTCCTAATTTTTTTGTGCTCCCTCCAGCCACAGGACTGAGCTTCCCTGTGTTGTCTGAAAATTGTCTGGCTTCTTACATG